CATTGTCATTATCATTATCATTATCATTTTCATTATCATTATCATTGTTATTATCATTATCATCATTATCATTGTTATTATCATTATCATCATTAACATTATCATTATCATTATCACTATGATTGTCATTGCCATTGTCATTGCCATTGTCATTGTCATTATCATTACCATCACGGCAAGTATTTCTATGTGGATTTAATCAGCGTCAGGCTTCAGTAATTCATATTTGGTGACAGCAAATTAGTTCATTACCAAAAGCAATCGATTCCACTCCACGGATTGCGGATTACAGGCACTAGATTCCAGTATTTGTCAATGAAACTTGGATTCTGGTTCCCCTCTCTTGAGGCAAAAATTCAAATGATTTGAACTTTTTTTATAATAACATAGGAGGTTTCTACCAGGACCAAATGGGGCAGATAGAATGCAAGAAATGTAGCTTAGGGACTTATGTCTCATGGGAACGACACCCCGGCACAAGTGCGACTGACTGTAAAGCATGTCCATACGGTAGGAGCAGTCATCAACATAACTTAGCATGAGTATAATCTCTTAGATCAACTATTAACTACATGTCACCTTTACTGCCGTAAGAAAGTGTTACCATTATCTCTTGTATAGTTGGGCTAAGATACGCTTGATGATTTTTTTACATACATGTTAAACGTTTTATTTTTTTTGTACAGGTACGCTTTCCAATGAAACCGCTGGTTTTCGTGCATGCAGATGTCTTCAGGGATTTTATCGCTTGGATCGTTTTGGCCCATGCTCGGAATGTCTAGCTGACGGCATCAACTGCCATCGCGACACAGCAACACTTGCACGTGACTATTACTGGAAATGGACAAATAAAAACAACAGCGAATCCTATAAGAATTTTGTGCAAAACATCCGCTCATACGGACCTGATTACAATAAGATCTACTCCAAATTTATCATTTCACTTCCAAAGCCAGTGAAATGTCCGTATGCTGGGTCTTGCAAGGGTGGAATTGACTCAGATTGCAATGAAGGATACAAAGGAACCTTATGCGCTTCTTGCAGAACTGGCTACTACCTAAGATTTAACACGTGCATAAAATGTCCAAGGTTTGCAGTTGCTATCCTTTCAACCATTTTTGTTACGCTGTGTTTTGTTGTCGTATTCCTGATGGTTTTTTGGGGCGACTCAAAGGAAACTGATAATAATCGTACTGTCGCAGATGTCATCATGTCGTGTTTCAAAATCGTTATTGGATTTTATCAAGTCATCTCGGGTATTTTTACAGCATTGGCGAGAGTAAAGTGGCCGGTAACTTTGATCCCCATGGAAAAATTTCTGAGAGTTTCTGAAGGGAATATTTTTCAGTTTGCACCGTTAAGCTGCATCTATTCTCAAATGCGATTGAATGCGTTCTCAAAATTCATCCTGGTACTTTCTATTAATTTCTTTGTTGTGTTCATCATTCTTTCTTACGTCTTCTTGAAAAAACGATACATCAGGAACAAAAAGGATTGTCCCGACAGCGAAAAAATACGCGAAGTTTCAAGCTTGAAAAAATCCTGCTATCGAAATATTTTCCTGTTCTTACTGGCGTCATATCCAATGACAAGCAAAACCATCATCCAAATTATTCCTCTCCCAGGTGCATGTGTGACGCATTGTTTCACAGATGATATAAATCAGTGTATCTTTCTCTTGAAGTCTGACTACTCCCTCCATTGCTTCACCGCCCAGCACAATATGTACTGGCCTGTCGCTGGCGTATTTTCCGTCTACCCCATTGGATTTCCGTTATTGGTATTGTTCCTTATTTGCAAGTGCCGAAGATCGCAGTTCCATGAAGAACTTACCTTTGGAATGAAAGTCTTTTACGAAAACTACAAGGCAAAATTTTGGTTTTGGGAGATAACAGAGATGTACCGCAAGCTGACACTAATATCTTTTATCTTCCTCTTCGGTTCTGACGGCGTTACCCAAATTGGTCTGACTGTACTAGTAGTGAGTGTATTTGGTGTGGCCTACACCTTCTTCCGCCCAATAAAAAGCAAGTTTGAAGACCTTCTTCAAACCTTTGTGCTCTGGGTCATCTTCTTTGACGTTTGCCTCGGAGCAATGTACAGCACCTCTGACGACACCGAAGGAAATGATTCGTTAACAATTAACATCCTGTTTGTCGTCCTCAACGCTTCCATACTTTTGGTAGCTTTAGGTAAGATTTTATTACGCCAGAAATAAGATATTTAGCCTGTTCAACGAAATACGTTTACTGAAATCACTAATTACTTGTTGCTGGTTTACTCCATCGTTGTAGTTGCTCGAGCACTTTTATTGCAAAGTTAATTACAAAGAATAAATACTCCTTTTTTCTGGACTTTATCGAAAAAAATGCTTGGTCTTAGTAAGAATCTTACATGTATGGTCAGTGACTTGATATACCCACGGTAACATCATTATAGACAGAATTTACCCTTGGTTTCGGTTTTCCATACCTTAAAATTTGCGCCTAATTTTTTCAAGTGCGTATGTCCTTCAGCAATCCATTTTAATCTCCTCCAAACTAAAACCTCTCCCCTTCCTTCTGTGGTAAGAGTTTAAAAATTGCGTTATATTTTAAACCTGAAGTTAGCTAACACTAACTTTCCAAGCGTTCGCAAACAAAGCCGCACCATCGAAAACTTTGGACAATATCCATCAACAGAACAACTGCTTTTCCTTCACTAGAAGACAGTATCAAGGCAATAGGAGGACTTGTTAAGCTAACATGATTCAAAAATGACAAATGGGTTTTCGCAAAACAAAAATTTTCATTTGTTACTCACTATCGACGGCAACGATATTAGTCATGCGGCATTTGTCAAACATTTTCTTTGCGTTGTTTTTCTACCCATATACCTTGCCAGTAACTGTGCTCACATTGTGAGTGGTTCCCCCTTAAATGTTTTACAATTGATATAACATTTAATGGAGCCGAAACCAGTTGTGGAATTTATTGCACACGCACGTTTTAGGCATTTTACTGATTAACAGTTTCGACTTTTTTAGTATTTCGATCATCAACAATTTGCAGTCTGTCCTCTTTCAATCTATATTTTCTTTATGATCAGGCATTTACAATATTCATCAAATTGGTTAGGGTAAAGAAAATATGTTTACTACGGCATCGAAGTTGTTTCTAGTGAAAGGGGAAGGGTTTTTCTGTTGACGGAGGATTGGAGGAGGTGGTCGAGTTAAAAATTATACCGTCTTGAGACTCCTACAAAAAGAACAGAGGCCTTTGAAAAGAATTCACAATTCCAACTACAGTCATTCAGTAAGTATTTCAGCAAAAGATCAAGTCGGAATCTACCAGGACAAAAACATTGTACGAGAACAATTTAAACAACGTCGCATCCTTTTTTTTACACTTTTCAACGGCTGGTTATCAGTAATAACACCAAAAACAATTTCTGATACGCCCAAGAAAATAAATGCTAAAGGCCAGAAGAACTGTGAAAACACAGGTAAAACTCTGAATCTGTAAGATGCCATTTTGTGAACTTTGACATTTTATATTTTTTCGTGCTCCCATGAGAAATTTTCTTTGGTGTTATAACGGATGACTAATTACATCTATAGCCCCTGAAAAAAAATGTAAACAAGAATGCAATGTGCTTTAAATTATTCTGGCACAAGGTTTTTGTCCACTGAAAATTAAAATTACTCAATTTCCTGGTGGATTCCGTCTCTGAAAAATGTTGCTTAGTTTTCAAAGATTCTGCTGTCATTACTGTATAAATTGCTAAGGTTGTTCACGTTGTAAGTGCTCTTAGCGTTTCACCCTCATTAGAGTGACTTGCAATGAGTGCACCCATCAGAGCCGGCAATCCCCATTTTTTGTTGTTTGTTGTTGCTGTTGTTTTTTTTTTGTTGTTGTTCTTTTTTCTGGGAAAGTTAATGGTCAGTCGAAATTCTTCATCACGTAATTTCCCGATATGATTTCAATACAGTTACAGCACAAAATCATTTTTCCTGTTCATTTACAGGTAAAGGAATTGCCCACGCGTCCTTTTTCTGGAAAAGGTTGTGTTCGTGCCTAATACACTGCTTCCACTTCATCCGACACTGGTTTAGAACGGCTATAGAATGTCTTCATGCCCGCCCACGGATGTTTGGCCTGAGGTCGCAGTCATTTGACGAACAACGGCAGCTCTGCATACAGGAGTTCACCTAATGAAACTGATTAAAAATTAATCCTCAGCAATTGTAAAAGAAATTATTATGTATCAGGTCACATCTAACAAAACAAATTGATATTTTCTGGATGAAATGGACAACCCAGTGATACGCAAGGTCTTAATAATTTGTATTCGATAAAACAACGGTATTTGTGAATACACAGTGATCACAGAAATGTAAATTAATAAAGACCATAAACGTACCGCTAGTTTTAACACAAGAAAAAAATTTCAAAAGAGAGCTCATAGTTAGCCTGTATTTACACAGATATGCACATACTATTCCCAACTTTGTCAACAATTGCAAGCTTTCGTTCTCTTCAGTTATGTGAGGCCCTAACACTCGCAATAAGTGACAGTTTTTTTTCTATTTGCTTGCATTGATATGAAAAAAAGCCTTCACCAAACAGTCTTTCCCATGCTCCTTAAATTTAAATGATTTAAATTAGCGAAAGAAAATTATACGTAATGATGTCCAATCTGAACCGTGAGTCTTTTTTTTATAATTTAACCAACAGGGTGAAGCAACGCATAACTTTGCTATATATCCTGAACATCAAGAGAAATAACTGTCTTGGACAGTGTTGCACAATGCAGTATCGACTTACAAGAGTATGGAAAACCGAAACCTGCCAGTGACTTATTAGTGTTCCATAAATCAGCTGTCACTTTGGTGTAAAATGTCATATTCTCTCAATGTTGAAAGTGAGGTACTATATTGTTGTTATCTCCTATCTTCTGTATAGAAAAAAAGAGTGAAAATAAATAAATAAAATGCTAATCGTTGCATATCCCGTGTTTTTCCTTTATTAGAGAGTCTCAATGAGGTTAACCGATAGTCGTTCAACGACCAAACATTTAGTCGACAGCCTTAAAAATTGTTAAATTTTAACCATTAGCCGTAAATAGGGTAAAAGAAGATATCGTAAAAAAAGTCGTTCCCGAGATTAACTCACTTATGACCGGTAGCGTTTCTTATTTCGCTGCTACTTTGACTCTGTACTTTCGCGTGCGAGCTTTTGCTTTTTCATAAAGGGTCATAAAGTTTATTTTTACATGAACCGGCTATACCTGTTATCAGAAATGATCCTTTCCATTCCTCACAAAATAAAGGTTCGTTGCCTGGCAATAGCTTAACCTTTTTTTTTCTATTTTAAGCAAAAAGCGCATGTCATTTTAAAAGAAGGAGAAAACTTTCATATTCGGAGATCTTCAATGCCGTACATAAATGTTCTAGTTCTCAACCTATTTGCTCGTTGTTTTTCAGTTCAGGTTGCACGGTCTTTTCTCAGTTGCGTAATGACCTTATCGCAGTTGTAAAAAGGGAACAGAATAGCAAAAAAAAAGCAACGCGAAGAATGAACCGGTAGCAATTAACAAAGAAAAGGAAATCACGTCAAGATGCAAAAGAAGACAAACAGCTTGATCTCCTTTTTCGCAGTTTATATTTCTATGCCCAAATAATATTAGAATAAGAATACTTTAAAATAAAAATATTATTGATCAAACATTAAAATTGTTGAAAAGAAAAACTTATTTCATCCTGAGATGATCCGAAGACCTTTATTTTCCTTTAAAGATACGAAACTTGAGGTTAATCTGAAACAAAAGAAATTTGTTTTTAACTTTATTAATTTGTTAACCGTAACTGAAAAAAAAATATATCATAACCGGTAGCCGTAAAAGAGCAAAAACTTTAACTGACTAAGACACCGCCACCCCTTTGACACCAATAACAATTAACGTTACTGTTCCTAGTTTTTTTTTTTTTTTTTTTTTTTTTTTTTTTTAATTTAATCTCAAACGATATACCTTAATTCAGGAAAGTATCGCTGTGGAATTAAGTTTTATGGGAACGGGAACAACGTACGTTGTATGCCCGTAAAATTAAAGGACTTCAACGTGTTGAGCAGTTTTGATCTCGCTCGACTGAGTCCATCTTTCGCCGAACAAAATATTTATCACAAACTCAATTTCCCTGATTCTTCTATCCCTGTTTGGCACTAAAAAAATCGTTACTTTTCTACCAAATGCGATACAAATAAATTAATGGTAATTAATTGTTAATTGTAAATTAAAAATTTAGTTTTTGTTTTCCTTTCGATCACACGCTACATCAACACACATACATACATGTAAGTTAGAAGATGAAGTAAAATTTTGAGTAGCAAAAATTTATTTTACGTTATTTGCCGGCCTAGGAATGTCCATATGGAAAAACAATTTGCCTACAGTCTTAAGTAAGACCTCAACGCAGTTTTGTTTCTTTTACGGATCTCCTGAGTGAGGGATGTAAAAAGTATAATCGTTATACTTTTCCTCAGATGAATTGAAAGCCAATTTTCATATATTTATCATGGTTCTCCGCTGCGTGCTCCGCTAATACGTATACGCTATCCATCAAGAAGTCATGCATTTGAAGATATGGAAGCCGTCCTGAGTAGCGATTGTTTTTCCTTTCTTTTTAACTTAATTTTAAAACCAAAATCTGTTACAAAAATGTTTTAAATAAGTGAATATCTATAAACAAGCAGACAAATGCGTTGAGTAAAATAATAATTATAATATTGCTCGGAAAAGTTCTAAATATTTTTTTTAAAATGTGGACTCAGACCAATAGAAAGAACAACTATTTCGACGTTATCACAACGCCCTTCGAAACTGACGAAGACGTTACGATTAAATCCAAAATATTCTGGTTTCAAACATCTCTGACTCCGGACATGTAATGAATACGTTCTTTCGATTCTCTGATCGAGTCTCTTAAATTATAAATTTTCCTTGAGGAAATGAACGCTAAGATTCGGTTGATATTATCACTTGCGCTGTAACCTGAGATCAGGCTCTATTTTCGTTTCGCTTTGAAAATTACATTCCGGCGGGCAAGACGAAACGAAAAGAGAGCCTGATACAAACCTTTAACGAAATGTCTGCCGCCCACTTTTTTGATTGATTAACATTTGCCCAATCAGCCAATCAGAATTACTTCCGTTGCTTGTTTTTCTAGTATGCAAATTTTTCACGCGTTGGAAAAATGCAGACTGGATGACTTAAAAAATAGCTTTTATCTGTTAATTTTTTCAGCTAAAAATAAAACAGTCAGCACAATCACATTTAACTTCTTGCGAGATTAAGGGAGATCTCGAAGGTTACTTCTGTTGGCGTAGAAGGTAAAAAGTTTTGGAAAAGACGGCGACACGATGTTCTACTAGTTTTATTATTTTGGCAAGGCGCTCTGGAATTTAAAATTCTGAAATCTCTATTTTTCCGTTGTCTTGATATTTTCCTCGGCAATTTCCCCCAATTTTCAGTACATAAATCTTTAAAAACAAAAGCAAACAGCCAACGAGCGAGGACACCAGTTTTCTTGGTTTATTTTGAACAAAAAGCGTAGTCAAACAACCAGTCTGTGAACACTGAAATTCCTTGAACAGCGATGCGATATTTTTCGTCTAATACTTCACAGTTGGCGATTGAGGTTTCTTTCGCAGTGAGCCTCCGCTTGCGTACTCCGTTCAGAGAAGTCATTGCCGGCTAAACTTTCAAATGAAACCAGTTTTAAGATGGACAGTATTTTGATTTGCACCCGTTTGTTGGTAAATCAAAATGCACCTTGTTACCGGTCAACAACTTGCAGAGGGATTCAACTCCGCGATACACTCACCTTCCGTAAATAAAGCAAATCCTGAGAAGATATGAACAACCACATGAATTTCCTGAATTTCCATGGCACATATTAAGGCATATTTACCTACCATAAGACCATAAAACGATAAAAAAGACAGCAAAATCGATCCTTCTCTCCACCGACGACGGATCATTCACGAAAACAACCACGCGAGGAATAAGCGCTTTCAACTTGCGGCGTTTCCGACAGCCAATCAGATCTTGTGGCATTGTTCTAACAGCCAATCAGCGTTACGGCCAAAATCTGGCCGTAACGAGCACAAACTTGTAATAGTTTGTATCAGGCCCAATTTCAGCGGTAGCCGTTAGAGAGAATGTATGAGAACCGCTCAAATTGGGCCTGATCTCAGGTTACTTGCGCTGCCTCTTCACTACACGTGTCACTCAGTTGTTTTAGGACCACTGTAAAGAACTTTACTTTGATTCACCTTCTGTGGTTTTTGGTGTCAGGCGTCAGCGTGCAGTGAACAAAAAATATGCACCTGCTCCTTATTTGGAAAGAGATCCAGTTCACCCCTATTCAAAGTTGACTGTATTAATTGGTATTGAGAAAGTGCCAAACGATATCCCCTCAAACACGGTGATATTGTAAGTTTTGATCACGACATAATTTAGCTTTGAAATTTTAAGAGCACTGGCTGGTGTGTGACCTTAGTGTTTGTTGGTTTGTTACTTTGTTTGCCATTGTATCAGTTCGCTAGCATTATTGAAGTACAGTTCCTTGACTTTGGACTAGGACTTAGAAACAGCTAAATGCGCGAACTAGCACAAAACGTGAGCTGACAGCAAATTTTGTCTTGCGTGTAAATTTTAAAATGCTCATCTTTAGACAGATGGAAAGAAAATACACAAACGACGCAATTTTAATCAGATTCTCTAGAACAGTTCCCTGAAGGTTAGGTTTTTGAAGGATCCAGGCCCTTTCTACCGCTTATGACATCCACTGAAAACAATCATTATAATATTGCTCGGAAATGTTATAAAAATAGTTTTTTCAGTGTGACGACTTCAACTGGGGCCACCTAACAACTTTCAGCCAATTAGAAACCGCTCCTTTAACAGAGAATTGGGCGTGCGGACCTCATTGGGAACTGCCCTATTTTTCGATTGGTTGGTTTCGATCCTAAATGTTTTCGCCGTTTAGAATGGTGTGTCCTAAACACTTACCCGCCCTTCTTCTGTGGCTACTTTTTCTAAAATATACATGCTGTTTTATATGTATTGAAGGCTGGTTATACTTATTGCTTGGCAAGGGGTATAAAAGTGCCTTCTATCTATGAAGGAAAAGCATGCAGTCTGGTTACAAGACGACGTTTGAAAATATCGCGAGTGTCCTCTTTACCGCTGAATTGTATTCTCTTATTCCTACAACTAGGCGTCATCATTCTAGATCTGGGTCAAGAATATTCATTTGTGAAAAAAAGAAGGGTAAGTTTTTCCTTAACAGAAATACTTGTGGTCAACAAGAAAAAAAAACAACTAACGGCCGGGCTGTCGCTGGGCGCTGTTTTATCAAGAAGACAAGGAGTAATCCCAATCCTCGCTTGCTCTAAAAACGCGTTTTTTTTTCTTTCATCCCCGGAGAAATATTTTAGCAACAAGAGAAACAAAAAATGAACAAGGTGTTCGATCGCGGAATGGGAAAGTATGCTCAGTATGGTTTTGCGTGGCATTTCATTTGCATTCTGTATGTCTTTAAACTTTCCTCCGGTTCCAAGGATCGCACGTTGAGATTGGCAATAGGGAGATCTAGAACCCTTTGGCGGGCAAGGTGTGGCAAGTTTCTAGCATTATCGTGAGAACCACTAAACTGATTAATTGTCAGCTGCACAGACATGATTTCGACTTTCACTTCCAAGACGGCAACGCACGTCAACAGGTAAAAATTTAAATTTGATCACGAGAAAAATGAAAACAGGATTCTTTGGTCTATGATTGGCTATCGCTGGAAGAAAGCCATTCTAAACGGCGGAAAATTTAGGATCGAGACAAACCAATCGGAAGATAGGACAATTCCCATTGTGGTCCGCGCGCCCAATTTTTTGCTAAAGGAGCGGTTTCTGATTGGCTGAAAGCTCATAGGTTGCCACCAGGCGGTGTGCGTCACGAAGCACAAAGTTTCATGGGTAATACTGTTAATGTACCTCATTTTAATCGTGACACGGTCGAGTACGCATCTTGTGACAAACATGGATCAAAACCCGAGATCAAACCACTGCTTCCTTTTCTGAAAAACATTACGGAAGAGAGCGACTTCAAGAATTTTCAAGATCTAGTAGTGGCCGTAGATGCTTGCTGTTGGCTTCATAAAGCTATATCAATAAGTTTATCGCGATTCGGAGATGATAGAAAGGCCGACTCGATTTTAGGCGGCGATTTCCTGCTTCCGCTGTGTTAATCTGTCAGTATTTTTATCTCAGGGTGAAAGAGATCTGTAGTTCATACCTGGATTTGCTCAAATAAAAAAAAACTGGTACTTAAGTAGTGTTTGATGGAATTTATTATCGAGCAAGGAGAGGGTAAGGCAAACAAAGAGCAAGGTGAGAAATCTTGCATCGCCTCTCATAAAAATTTTATTTTCATCAACAAGTATATCTTATTTTTCAAACAGTGCCTGTCTTTAATCCTTATGCACGAATAAAACCTTCTATTAGGCAAGGGAAATACAGACCGAAAGAGCCGAACAATTACAGCACAATGGGAATTTTACCAAAGCTACGGCAGCAGAAATAAACCACGATCTTGTCTGTGCGTTCATTGAAGTGAGCGCAGTGTATCGATTCTGTTATAAACCTAACCTTACAGTTTTAAAATCCTGTATGATGTTTTGAAGATCTTAGATAACTATTTTGCGTTTTGGTGGAGATTAAAACAATTGATTCCCTCACTTAAGTTTACATGAAGATTTGCATACCAACAGCACACATTTCATGCAAATTACACGCTTTTAGTTTCCGCGCATGGGGCTATGAAAATGGAACAAACTCTTCCTGGATTTGGCGTTAAATACTCGCTTCGTCAGCTTTCGCTTCAGTATGTTTTCTCAGCCCGTTTCCCCGAAGACGATCTCTTCACTCCAAGAAAAGTTCAACGCCTCATAACGGAAAACTAACAGGCGTAGACCAGGGTAGACAACAAAATTTACAAAGAAGAAAGGTTGAAGAAACAAGATGACCAAAATAATCCGATAAAACCGCTAACAGTAACCAGCAATGAATCGAAGAAGAAGGGAGAAAATAACACTCAAATCATCATGGCGGCCTGCACATGACTGAGCAATTCAAACTTGTCTCAAACGCTCAAGAAAGCAAAATATTTAAAAGCAACGTAACTAGTTTCAAGATAGTGTTCCAACAACTTTCCACGGCGGTATAGTGTCGATATTATCTACACAAGCTTGGAATAAAGTGAAAATTTCACCATATACACCTCTGAAAACGGGCTCTTGCCAAGCGCGAAAATCACTCTTCAAATAACGCATGATTGGTCGAATCTTGTGACGCACACGGCCTGGTTGGCCCCGGTTGAAGTCGTTACACTGTGAAAAAGCACTCAAGCCAATACAAAAAACAAATATTTCCACGTTATCACAACGTCTCCGAAACTAGGGAAAAATTAAAAGACCCGGTTTCGAATAACTCTGGTTCTGGACATGTAATTAAAACGGTCTTTCGATTCTTTGATCAAAATTTCTAGATTATAAATATTCCTTGAGGAACTGTAACGCTAAAGTTCCCAAGCTTCGGTTGACCTGAAAACCGCTTGCGCTGCCTTTTCGCCGCACTTATCAACAGATGTTCTGTTCGCAACATTGTAGGCTCCAAGTATTTTTCTGAAAATGTGTTTTTGTTTAAAGTGCTTTACTTTGATTTACCTTTCATGGTTTGTGGTGTCAAGCGTCAGCGTGCATTGCCCCCAAAAATGTACCTGTTCGTTATTTGGCAAGAGATCCAGTTCAACTCGATTGAAAGTTGACTGCATGGGTATTGAGCAAGTACCGAGCCATACCCCTTCAAACACGGTGATATTGTATGTTTCAACATAATTTAACTATCAAATTTAAAGTGCACTTGCTTGTGTGTGTTTTATGTTTGTTTGTTTTGTTTTTTACAACGCCATTGTATCAGTTCCGTTGCGTTGAAGTAGAGTTCCAGGACTTCAGACTAGGACTAAGCAGCTAAATGCGCAAATTAACACAGAACGTGAGCCATCGGTAATTTTTGTCTTGTATGAAAATCTTCAGTCTATAGAATGCTCGTTTTTAGAAAAATAGAAGGGATATGTACAAACGACGTAATTTAGATCTGATTCTCTAAAACAGTTCCTTGAAGGTTAGGTCTGACAAGTATGTCACTTTCTTCTTTCAGAAATCTTTCCATGAATTCTTTGCAATATATTCATGAAGACGCCTTTAAGAACCTCAGTTTACTAAAGAGCATGTAAGTGAATCGCACCTTTCACAATATTTATTTATTTATCTATTTACACAATTCAATTACACAGATAATCAAAATAATACAATTAAAATCAAAATCGAAGAAAACTAAATATATAAAAGTGATATCTGCATAATTAGGGTAGCTTATACAGAACACGAGGATTCCTTATAAGAATAAATTGCCTAGGATAAACAATAAAATGTAAAAAAGCTATATACAAGAAAATTCCAATCCCAATTAAGACCCAATTAAATTTCAACGAAGCGACTGGTAATATCAGTACGAAACTAGCATAATAGTGGTTTCTTCTATCAGGATGCTCATTCGAAACCCTGAAAAACAACCGGAGAAACATGATATTTAATAAACGCAAAACGGTACACGTACAAAAGCATGGGTTGAAGCCTTTAAAGCTTAAAATAACCTGGTAAACACAACACTGCCGCGCTCCATGAAGTGCATCTCTTCTAAAGTTAATTTCGTAACCATCAAAAGCAGTGTATTGAAGCTAAGGTATTAGTACTGATAAAAGCGTCAGTTTTTTAGTCGCTTGAACAAAATTTACCACAAACATGTGCTATGCATTTTACTGTACTGCAGTTACATCGTAAACGCTATACACAATATATATCTACACTGTATCTGAGTCTGGGAAATATGTAGTCTCAATCCAGCTTTCATAAATTGTTTAGCCCATTTCCAATTTACGATTCGTTAAAGTCAGTAATCCTATATTTACATTTTTCCAGATTGGTGTAATTCTAACAGCAAACGTTTCTTTAGCGCCAAATATTACATAACATTTTTTTTTTTCTCAGTGACCTTTCAAAGAACCAGCTAAGGTACATTTCGCAGAACGCCTTCAGGAATCTATCACTACTTTCAGTGCTGTAAGTAAAGTTTACTGAACAATCAATATCTTTTTCTCCGTCCAGATTATAGTTAGATTGAACATATAGATGCCAGGGAATAGAAGGCTTAATCTATCAATCTATTCTCAGAGCATGAGAAAGGAAAGCCTAATATGGCTGTAATGATTGATTGACTAAATAAGGTTGGTTCGAAACTTTGAACCTAAATACTCCTTTAGTTTTACCACACGAAGTCCTCACTATTTTTCCAATTTAAGAACTCCGGTATAAGTGGAATAAGGCCACTGATCATGCTATTGTCTCCTTCGAATTCCAAATGTCTGCAAACGCCCCGCCAGGATGAATCGCTTTATTTACGATTACAATAAAGGCGATTTCTTCTCCAAGGGCAACAAACTTATCGAATATAATTTCGCCTCATGCGGCCGACATTAACGACGACTGGCGTTGCTGAAAAGAACTACAGCAAATGCAAAGCACAGCGCATCACTAGGAAACTTAAACCCGTCATCTTTGTCTACATATGGCCGGCTCTCAGCTTGAAGTTGTCTCTGCCGAGAAGGATCTTGGTGTTTACATAACGGATAACCTCACGTGGAATAAGCAAGGCAATGTGCAATGTGCAATGCGCTAAGGCCAGTAGGCCCCTGGGATATATTTTCTCTGCCGTATAATTAAAGGTCTAGTCTCCCGACTTTTTAGTAAATTTTAAATGCCCCTCACAAATTAAGACGGAATCCACCAGGACACTGAGTAATTTTGACTTTCAGTGTACAAAAATCTTGTAGCAGAATAATTTAAAGCATATTGCATTCTCACATACATTTTTCAAGGGCTAAAGATGTAATAAATCATCCGTAGTAACACCAAAAAAAAATTCTCACGGGAGCCCGAGGGCTCAAAAGGGCCTAAAAGCCCTTGAAAAATGTAAAAAAGAATGCAATATTCTTTAAATTATTCTGGTACAAGGTTTTTCTCCACTGAAAACTAAAATTATTCAATTTCCTGGTGGATTCCGTCTTAACCGCAAATATGCTATTTGTTTTCAACTTGTTAATGAAATCTTTTCACAGCAACAAAAAACCTAATTAGGAAATAGTCACGTGACTGATGACGTCATTACCTCAGATTCGACATGGGAATATACAGTCTTAATTCTACGTATCAAATTGCCAAAGTTATAGAGATTTTTAAAAAATTGCCTCGAAGGATGCTGTGAGATTTTTTTATGATAATCATCTGCCACTTGATTTCCATAGGCAGTTTAATTGTTCATTTGACATATCCGATTGCAAGCATCTGACAGTTCCGATGTAACGATACCAAAATTAAGTAATAAATATGAGTTGTTGTTAAGAACCATTCAGATTTGAGTATCAGTTAAACCCCGCTTTGATTAGTTAAACTTTGGAACTGGTTAAGCTTTTCGATAGCCTACGCGCTAACTGCGTACACAAACAAAGACTAATGATATTACTATACTTTCATTTGTTGGTATTGCAGCTTGCTCCAAAAGAACTTCATTAGAGGATCGTTCCATCTCCCTGAAAGAGTTCACCTACTGTAAGTTTTTGCTATCGTTGATGACGATTTTACGGTTGTTAAGTAAATTATCACTACAACTTACAGGCCAGGAGGCCCGACAACATAGCTACATGCCACTTTTTTGTTGTGGTTCTTGTTGTGTGTCTGTTTGTCTGTCCCTCTGTTAATTGTTTGTTTGTTTGTTTGTTCGTCAGTTGTTTTAATCTATGCAATTTCCAAAGGCTGAAAAGAATCAGTAAAATTGGGATTATCTGTTTTCTACAGTATTTTTGAAATGAACGATTTTCTGCCTTTGGACCTGCTGATTGTAGATAATTGTTATATTTAGCCTTGCCAGATAACATTTAGTACTTTTCATTCCATGTGTTGATCAGAATATAATTTCTGATGCTTTATACCTTCTTTTTAGGAATATTGAAGAGAACTTACTTTCCCTTGGAGACTTAAAAGTTATCCTTAAAGGATTAAATGAATTGACTTACTTGTAAGTGGCATATTAACATTTTCTCCACTGCAAGGCAAACAGCTTTTTCTGGGTATAGTGCCTCTCACCTATCATAATCAAATAATTTGGCTTCTCTACTCTCCCGAAAATGTATCTCTATCCCCCCTACACACACAGACACGCTTGTCCAACCTCGATGATATAGATGTGTAATACCCGACGGTCCAGTACATGCAAATTTACGACTGAGATAAAAACGCGACACACTAGTAAAACTCAAGTAAACTGAAACACAAACATGGCATCCACAAATGAACTTGTTATTGATCGTCGATTATTTAAAGAGGATGCGAGACAAGCGCCTGTCAAAATTTCTCCATAGAGTTGAGGATAAAATCACCTAAATCAAAATCCTCGATGATTTCCCATTTCATTAGCATCTTCTTATCTTTATGAACAATAACACTGTCTTTTTTGAGTTAATGACATATAGGCTTCAATCCGGTTTTGAATTCAAAAAGGAACCAATACTAACACCATGTATCTGTGTAAGATGGATAAATTCCTTCCTTTAGCAACGTAATTATAATTATATCTTTGCGTAGCCAATGAATCACTGTGTATTTGATCACACAGGAATGCTGCGGGCAATAAACTTGGTCCTGTTCTAACAGCTGACGTTTTTGCTGATTTAAGAATTCTTGATGTTCTGTAAGTTGTTATATAAAAGAAATAAATAAGGGGAGTTTAATATATCACACGATCACACCCAATTTACTTACATTACCTGGTGGAATTCTTCAAGACTATAAGACTAAGACCATAAACCAGGAAAAAAATCGTGCGCGTCTCTGACCGCAAGGCCTTTGGCCATTTTCTTTGTCATGACGCGCAGTTTCCTATAACGAGGTTTTATTTACTGCAGGCGCACAAGAAAAATTCCCGTATGTGCCGAGGTATTCTGGGTGATGCATCATATTTTTCATATACAAACGTTTATTACCATTGCTGACAACACGGCACTGAAAAGAAGGCCGAGTTCGAGAAATGATAATAACTAAGTTTCTTGAAAGCAAAGAAACAAGTAGACATTTTTTGTCATTGTTGTTTTTGTAGTTATTGTTGTTGTTTTTGATTTGGAGGAGGGTGCGGGTGGGTAGAAATAATGACCTGTTAACCGTTTCAGTTTGACTATTCTATGAGCTTTCACTTAGGCACATTGAACATTGCGAGCTGACTCATATACAGACTGGGGCTTTGAGAGCAACGAGAAATTTGACTCATCTGTAAGTAGGCTTACCAAAGAAAACAATTTTAATGCAGTCAGGTGGTCGCTTACTAGCGTAGCCCCATACCTAAGAAAATGTGATAATCCACCCATCCGAAAAACATTTTGGTAATCACTTGACCATATGCCCGACCGACTGTCCGTCCGAACGACAGGCATACCAATTTTGAATAACTCAATCAAGAAAAAGAAGTAATAGTTTGTAGAAGTAATAGAAGTAGTTTGAATAACTCAATCAAGAAAAGGAAGTGTCTTGTCTTATTCTTGCAAAACAACGGCAAAGAAAGATACAAAAGGAGTGTGCTGCAAGTGCAAAGTTCCTTTTCTGCTGATTAGACCTACTGTTGTTTTTTCACCATTCTCGTTGCCTTCGCCGCTTAGCATTGCACGATTTTATATTTTGTTTGGGCAAACTATACATATTATCGACAGCTTCGCTTTTATCTCTGGCTAAATCTATGTATTATATAGAATCGAACCACAAAGGTCTCTTTCAAGAAGATGTCCGGGCACATCTACTTTATGAAAGATGATTTAAATAAATAAGCGTGGCCATGTAAACCTGACTTTCAAACCAAAGTTAAACCAGACTAAAAAATCACGTAATTACTCGACTCACCTGAAATGCAGTTCCTGGAAGCCAAAAAGTGAGAAGGAAACATGGCTCGAAAATGTGCTCATGTTAATGTACTCTCAATCACCAAAACAGCTCTTGTCGTTAAAAGTAAATTGATTGCTATTTTTTATTTCAGTGACCTTTCTTATAATAGTTTGTCCAGCATAGAGACTGGTACGATCGAAGAGCTTGAACAACTAGTCCTTTTGTAAGTACAAGTGACCCAGAACTTTCAAACTAGTATTATTTCAACAAGACAATGCTTATGCAAATTCTGGCTTTAAGAATTTTCTTCTTCTTTCCATAAGGTTTCTCGCACGAAACAGAATTTCGACGATTGCCGATGGTACATTTAAAAGACTTAAATATCTCAATATCGTGTGAGTGGTTTCTGTAAAAAGCAACCTTAATAGTATTTTTTTCGTATGGTTAAATTAACAATAATAGAACAGTAGTAGGGCTTCAGCAAAGATAAGCCTTGCGATGGATTAGGTGGATTAGGTGCCTATGGATTAGGTGGATTAGGTGCCTAGTCAATGACGTCACCCATTGTTATAACCTACATACTAATTTGGATTAAGTTTACTAATGAGCGTCACTCTACTACAATAGGAACAATAGGCTTGCCTAGACTTGCCCGTAAAGTAACTTGAGCTCGGTTTTCGAACAGTCTATTAAAAGGAAAATAGGAATAAGAGAAGCGATCACCTAGCAACGCGAGAAACGGCTTCCTATATCTTATTTAGCGCTAAAACTCAGATATATAAACAAAACACATGTGCACAAAGTGGAGTTGAAAAGTCTTTATTTCCGTTTAGTTTATGTCTTCTTATTGAGCTCTAAAACTCGGATATATATAAACAAAATACACAAAGTAGAACTGAAAACTCTATTTCAATTTTGTCTGACGTTTTCTCCGTTCTATCTCGAGGAAATGAAAAACTATTAAAGTCTTGTAATTTCACGCACTGTTAGTCAGTTAATTATGCGAGTTCACAAGCCCAAAGTTGAATACAAATTTGCTCTACAGGAAAGACCCAAGGGAGCACCTTGACGTATTATTATAAAACAAATAACTTAACAAGGATCAATTAAAACACGCGACTAATAATTGCTAGCAATAAAATCTGACCCCACATCGACCCCACATCGACCCTACACTCAACTTTTTTTTAACACTGCTTCATAAATAGTGAAGCTATATACCACCACCGCCACATTTCTATTGTTTTCCCACCACCACCACCACCACCACCACCGCCACCACATTTCAATTGTTTTCCCTCCTCCTCCTCCTCCTCATTTTTATTGTTTTCCCTCCTCCTCCTCCTCCTCCTCATTTTTGTTTTGGTACAGTAGGGGTACAGGAGGGGTACAGGAGGGGTACAGGAAGGGTACAGGAGGGGTACAGGAGGGGTACAGGAAGGGTACAGTAGGGGTACAGGAGGGGTACAGTAGGGGTACAGGAAGGGTACAGGAGGGGTAAAGTAGGAGTACAGAAGGAGGAGGAGGAGGAGGAGGAGGGAAAACAATAAAAATGAGGAGGAGGAGGAGGGAAAACAATAAAAATGAGGAGGAGGAGGAGGGAAAACAATAAAAATGAGGAGGAGGAGGAGGAGGAGGAGGGAAAACAATTGAAATGTGGTGGCGATGGTGGTGGTGGGAAAACAATAGAAATGTGGCGGTGGTGGTATATAGCTTCACCATTTCCGAAGCAGTGTTAAAAAAAAGTTGAGTGTAGGGTCGATGTGGGGTCGATGTGGGGTCGATGTAGGGTCGATGTAGGGTCGATGTGGGATCGATGTAGGGTCGATGTGGGGTCGATGTAGGGTCGCTAGGAGGTCGATGTATTTGTGGATGGAAAAATATATAGAATAAATGAGGAGGTGGAGGTGAAGGAGGGGAATAAAAAACATTGAGGAGGGAAAATAATAAAAATTGTGGAGGAGGGAATAAAAACATTGAGGAGGGAAAATAATAAAATTGTGGAGAAGGGAAAAAGAAAAAATTGAGGAAGGAAATAAAATTGAAAAGGGAGAGGGGTAAGTAAAACATGACTTGCTTTCTTTGACTGTTTTAATAGATTTCTTTCAAATCGCTGTGTGTTTGACTCTTTTTGTTTTAAACGGTATCTCGTGTCAGATTTTATTGCTAGCAATTATTAGTCGCGTGTTTTAATTGATCCTTGTTAAGTTATTTGTTTTATAATAATACGTCAAGGTGCTCCCTTGGGTCTTTCCTGTAGAGCAAATTTGTATTCAACTTTGGGCTTGTGAACTCGCATAATTAACTGACTAACAGTGCGTGAAATTACAAGACTTTAATAGTTTTTCATTTCCTCGAGATAGAACGGAGAAAACGTCAGACAAAATTGAAATAGAGTTTTCAGTTCTACTTTGTGTATTTTGTTTATATATATCCGAGTTTTAGAGCTCAATAAGAAGACATAAACTAAACGGAAATAAAGACTTTTCAACTCCACTTTGTGCACATGTGTTTTGTTTATATATATCTGAGTTTTAGCACTAAATAAGATATAGGAAGCCGTTTCTCGCGTTGCTAGGTGATCGCTTCTCTTATTCCTATTTTCCTTTTAATAGACTGTCCCAAAACCGAGCTCAAGTTACTTCACGAGTTCCTATTGTAGTAGAGTGACGCTCATTAGTAAACCTAATCCAAATTAGTATGTAAGTTATAACAATGGGTGACGTCATTGACTAGGCACCTAATCCACCTAATCCATAGGCACCTAATCCACCTAATCCATCGCAAGGCTTATCTTTGCTGAAGCCCTACTACCTAGAACAAATAAACAATAAAGGGTTTTTGCAACAGAGTAGACTTGGTGGCTGCAAGGGATTCTCGCGAGTGATTGGTGTCCAATTGACTTGTCCCCATTTTTCTTGCCGCTCTACAGCCTAAACAAAAGCAAAGGAAGAATAAGGCAGCGTGCGCAAGATAGATTCCGCAAGCTACAAAGGCAGTTGTGAGGGGCTAGGGTAACAAGAGCGTTTTTTTTTCTACAAGACTTAAAAATACATGATTAAAACTTGGCAATTACTGCGACGGTTCAAACATCCCAGAAACCCTAAATTAATGAGTCTACATCAGAGTGGTGCTCATAAAAATATCTTTATATCATCCGCGTGTATGATCTTTTCCAAAGTTATGAGTTTGATCGATGACAGTGAGTTTTTTAAGTCTCTGTCGCACATTTGGCAAAGCTTTTGTTAAAGATTTCATCATAAACGTAATGCTTCTTGTTAGAATTTCGATTAAAGACATTACAAGCTCTGTTCAGACAACCTGAAATTCACAATAAAACAGCAGCGATTGAACATAATGTCAAACAAATCCGTTTGATCTCCTCTTTTTAATGTGCACAGGGGAATTTGGACTTGAAATTTTTTTTCTAAGAATTTCAAACCAAAACAATTAAATTAAAGTCTCCGTAACTGACAAGATAAGAATCTAATCTAATAAGAATCTTTAACTCCATAGATAATATTAGAATCTCCTGATTTAGTCAGTAGTTCGCAAGCAAGTAAACATAAACATAATTTCCATCGATGTTCTTTAAAACAGGTTTTACGTGACAAAGCAGTCTTGTCGCTTATTCAGGTGCCCAGATAAATCTTTCAATTTTGCCAGTAACGAAATTACAAATAGAAGATAATATAATTTTAAACAATTCAGTACTTCATCATTAAACTTCAGGTTAAGCTAAAATATGACACAAAGTACAAAATAGTTAAGGAACTGGCGATTTATCACCACGTAGACAGCTCTACGCCAGATAAGGCACTATTACGAGCATAAGTACTTTTTAACGAGACAAAACAATTCTTTACTTTAATATGCGTTCGAAAAATGATAGCTCGGATCAACGCTATCTACTGTTGAACATGCCGCCCTCAAATTTCAGCGGAGCTTTAGCGCGCGCGGAGCAACAGGGGTAAAAAAAATCTGGTTATCCATGCACACAAAAACAAAGCCAATTCTTCTCTTACATTGACGTGGATAACAGAGAAAGAGCTAGAGCGACAAATTCGTCGGAAGAATAAAATGAAAATTGTATTGCGGGGGTAAGAAAATGAGAAATGCTGGCGGCCGCTAAGGTGAAACTGTGGCAGCGAAAAGTCAAGTGAACTGGAACACATACAACAGTTCCTCCATAAAACGTGTAACTAGGAAGGTTCTGGAAGTTTCACGTTGTAGTCGTGCAAAACAACGGAAAAGAAAAGTACACAAAAGTGCGCTGCAAGTGCAAAGTCGTTTTTCTGCTAGTTAGACCTGCCTTTTTTTGGCTGTTTATATTTTGTTTGAGTAAACTATAGATATTAACGAGGCCTACTCTGGGACCTTAAGTCGCCTAGCGATCTAAGGCGACTTCAGGCAAATTTGCTCAAAATGTTGTGCGACTGAAGGTGGCTCCCTACAGTATTTACTAATAACCCTAGCTATCTAGCATACGTTACAGAAGGAAATCTAGTTACTTTGCGATTCTGGTCACGAGATTTCCAGCTAAGGTTACCCATATAAGAAGGCTCCTTCATCAAGTTTCATTTTCTGGATTAAGGCCGTTGCCATGGCAACATCGCATCCTCAAACAGGCAGTAATTTTGTCATTTTTTATCATTTTTTCTTAATATTTCTTATTTCCCTCAATCAAATGTCTTTAAAGTGCAAAGAACATGGGGTCGTCAAGACGTTGTTGCCAATATTTTGAAATTTGTAATTTTTCTTACTTAACTTGCATCCTGATCAAAGCAACCTTTCCATCGACGAACCAACATCCTTGTACTTTTTCTTGCTTCAAAAAGTCCTTCAACGCACATGCAAGATGCACTAGAAAATGTTTTTGCACAACGAAAAATAATTTTTGAGTCGCATATTGACCCTTGACGAAAGCAATAGTTGTCCGTCGAGAACTATGGTCTTGTACGTGCAGCTTAGGACATGATGCACGTTCTTAAGATCGGCGGTATCTTTTACAGAACACTTTTAAAGATAAACTTTCTCGTCGAAATTATCCCTAAGGAAGAACAAGGTTAAAAAAGTATCCGGAAATGGGTTGACATTTGAAGATCTGCAAACAGCGAACAGAAGATTAACAAATGAAGGGCTTATTGCGATTCCTGCACAACGACTGTCTTCATCTCCGATGATCGCCTTCCGCACGAGTGACGACCAACACGGCTCAAATTTTAGATAATAGTCAAGTACTTCGAAGAAAACATCCAGTGTTAGGTATAAAATTAAATCCGCTATGTCTCCTTTTTCAACTGGCGAGACATTACCGTAATAATACTAATAAACAGCTTTAAAAATGGCTTTCGTACTTTTCGAAGAAACCACATGTTTTCAGTAGCTAAGTGCATTATGCGCATGCGGGCGTGATGGCTCACGTTCGTATTTTGTTCATACGACCCCGAACCACGCCTGTTTCGGATTTTTGTGACGTCAGCGCAATTAATTAACCGCGAATTTCTCGCGTTTCCTTTGGGTAATTTTTTTAAAAAATCGCCTCATTTCTTAACAGCTGCAGTGCCTTTGTACTGTCCATTTTTGTTAGGAAACCTTTTTTTCTGATAAAGTTTTTAAACAATGTGATAGAGTCGGCAAAAGAAAAAAAAACTATACTGCCTGTAATCTTGCCTTAAAGCCATTTCTAGAATTTCTTAAATCAAATAAAATGATTGTCTTCACCTTCGCTGGTGAAGACAATCTTCACTGTTTGTTCGGGACTTGGCTAGATGTTTCATATCTTTCAACTGGCCGTGAACCAAAGGCCAGAAACAGTAACATTGCTTCCTTCAGGGTTAATGTACTTACTTCTTTGTTTTCTTTGTAAAGTTTCCATTCACCATTTACTTTACGTTTGTCTACTTTTGACGCGAAAGAATTGATGTCTTTGGAAGATTTCTGCTTCGTTTATACATACAAGTTACTCATATGGAGATCGATAGTGACTTGGAACCAGTGTAACATTATGGCCTCTCATAAATGTTTGACCTGTACTAACCAAACTTTTTGCACAATGAGCTTCAACAGCAAGTTAATAAAAGTTTTTGGAGGGAATATATTGAAACTGAGAGCTGGGCCGTGTTTGTTTTATTTTTGCGTGGACATCGCGTGGATTTTAAAGCTCGCGCCATACTAGTGCTCAGGCTGCGCACGGCTAATTTACTCTAAGGAGCCACCTTAAGGCGCCTTTAGGCGATATAAGGTGATATATTAGGTCAATTAAATATTAGTGTATACAAAATTGACATTTACTGATAACAACACCTCTCTAGAGACACAACGTCGTAGCATAAGTTAATTCAGTCTTGGAGACAACTACATTAGCCTTCCAAAATTTCAGCAATCGCAACACAGAGAATACTAAAATAGTAATGCTACCTAATATTTTTAGCATTAACTATAAAGGTAGCCTGTGTTGCAGATGTATTCTAACCCTGGGTAGAATACATCCTTGTTCTGGGCGCCAACGTACTCAACGAATTACCGGCATTTTGAGTTTCCCTTAAAATGATTGGCAAATGAATAATGGCATTTTTAACATTGAACCAGTCCTGGCACGTACTCAAATCCTGGTACACACACGGGGGGCTATGATTTTGCCGCTGTTTTGCAGACGCACTTACCCTAAGAGTTTATTTCCATCTGTGCCACAGGCTAATATCAAGGGTGTTGGTTTAGTATTACATTAGCAGACACAAAATCTGAGTAAGAAGCAACCAAAAGGGTAAATTCTCTCTTAGCCTTTTAATGCATTATTTTACAATATAAGGGACAAAAAATCAATGGTTCCTGCATTTTTAAGTACAGTATTTCAATACATCTCTCTGTAAAATACTATGAGCTGGTTTGTAGCAAAAACTTTATATTAAAGTGTCTTTTTTCATTTTCACACGTTTCGGTGTGAAATCGGTCTGCCGGTAGACTGGAACGGGTCGCGCATGCGTAACGTTTGCAATTTTGAATCACACGTGTATTTTATCAACATACAGTGTACCTTCAAATAACGAGATATGAAATGGTCCAGTCATCATGTAAACGGGACACAGCAATTTCGCAGTTTTTGATGACTGATATTGCCTTCAATATTGCTTGCAAAGAGCTGAAAATTGCACAAATTGCTCAACTTAATCAGCTCTTTCAACTTTTGCATTTAGTTCATATATATTGCCACGGCTTCTATGAGTCAAGTCGTATGCTAATGAGGAAAATGTAAACAATGACGTTAGCAAAGATTCGCCTATTGACAACAACAAGAGTGAATTTGTATCCACCATTTTTCTTCTCCCAGAACTCCACTGCAGTCGCAAGCTAATTTCCATTGTTTCTCGGCCCCGCCCTCTCCCCGAATCCAGACTTGCTAGTCACGTGACCAAAACACACAACTCTTAGTTACCTGGAATGTATTTCAATGTTGGACTTTCACAAAGCAGTAGAAAGGAGACTTTTACTTTTTAATTTATATTTTATTCAGGGTAAACAAAATATAAAGTGAAAGAAGGAAGTGAGCTTTACAGCTTGCTATTCCCGACAAGCTGTAATTTAGCTAGAACTTGAACCTTTGAATGCCTTTTTAACAACACTTTTACTCGGAAATATGAGACCACCCCCCACCCCCCGATGAAATTAGTAAAGTACCTATACAAGTGCCTAGATGAAGTTGTGTACCATATGTTGTCATTTTTGCGTAAACAATACGAGGATGATTATTCTTGTATTGCTTAGAACTATTCATTATGTGTAACAAATTGCCTAGAGTAATTCAATATATAAATTAGAGGGCTGGAGAAGAAATGAATTGGGTCTTAAGTCACTGTGGGAGTTTTTTGTCGGGGGTGGAGGGGTGGGGTGGGTCTGTGGCTAATATTAGTGAACATAGGCTATTACACAATGAGAAATCATGCATTCTGGAAATAGAAAACTAGAAAAGTAATAACTACCAGACAATTTGAACCTCTTAAGGACTATAATGACTTAAAGTGACTTAAGACGACTAAAAGCAACCTAAGGCGACTTTAGGCGACTTAAGGTCCCAGAGTAGGCCTCTAACGAGAGCTTCGCTTTTTGCCCTGGCTAAATCTATATACTAGCAACAAGCCTATCAAACACTGCTCGTACAGTGTCTATCAGCCTTTGCTTTTCTTTGGTAGGTTAATAGCTGCACTTAGGTGAGAAAATGTTAATTTCCTAGAGTTCAGTATTTCTTATATTCGATATTAGGAAGCTCAATTCAAACCGACTGAGATCTGCTCCAGATTTGATGGGTCTTACCAATCTGGCAGTCTTGTAAGTAAATAACTAGTAAGCTACTTAATTTCTTTAATTTCATTTTTACTCTTATTTTTAAACAGCAAGGGCGTCAAGGACATCAACCGACCCCTACTTTAGGGCATGTGTCATAACTGCCAGGTTATCCATGCACAGATATGACACTTGTCATTAAGGCCTACCTACTCTTGGCTCGGACCTCTGTCATTGTTGTATTTCATGAGTAATATTTCCTTCTTTTTAAAAGCAAAATATTATAACTGCCACCGTACAAATCCATTTAAGTATTATGTGAAAATTTTCAACAAAGGAAAAACGTGTTTATTAAAATGCCATCCCTATTTCAAGTCCCATTGTTGCTCTATAAGATTTTGGAGAAAAGAACAGCCTATTTTGGAAAAAAGATTTGAAACTTAAATTCCAACGATTCTTAACATTGCTATGGGAAGTGTAACTCGCATTAAGGTAATTCCCTTGAAAATGAGGTAATATCCAGATTTTTAAAACTTGGCACAATTGACAGCCATATATCAAGACCAGCACCTTTTTAGCCGGTAAGAGTTATCACAAATTCACTATCGCTATTGAAACCGTTTGGACTAGTAAAGAGGCCTTTGTTAACTCTCTTTTGGCGACCGGTAAAAATATCTGCCTCCTTTGACGTCGCAATGTTATGCGCTGTATCCGATGCGCAGTGCAAAGCAAGGGAGGAAATTACCTCAAACATTACAAAGAAAAATGAATACTTAATCTTGACTAATTGAAGTTTATTGTGCCTGTGGAATGTTTTATTGTTTTTCAACTTTAAAAAAAAACAATCAAAACTTATAACTAGCAAAAAAGTGGCTGTAACGTACAGATGAATGCACCCTTAATAAGCTTAAACATACTAGGGCCGTTTATACGAGAGAAAATAAGCCGCGGCTTACATAAGACGAGAAAGGAACCATTTACACGATTACGCCTTACGTAAGACGCGAACAGCTGGTATAAATGGTTCACGGCTTACTTCGCGGATAGATCGGTCCAATGATGACGTAAATTGCTTTGGTGCCTCGTTTTAGAGTAACTGTATTTGCATCTCGTTATTGCAACAATGGCTCGAGCGAGCAAAAAAGCTAAACGACTGGCTTTAGCCAGCAAAAAACGCTGTACTTTTCACTGTCTTTTTCATTTTTAACTGTCTCTTCAGTCAAAATTAGTGTAGGGTTCCCAGATAGCTAATTTGTTAAAGAAAATTCGCACTTCGCTGCACATTAGCAAAATTAGCTCTTATTCAGCGGCACTCCATACGTTTCTGTTTTTAGATTAATCTCTATCCGTCGTCGTCCCCGCCATTTTCCAGGTTTTAAAGGGAGTAATTGTAAACAAAACATATTCTCCCGCCACTGCAGCGTGGGTCTCTCAGCCATGAAGGTCTGGGTATAATTAAATATAGAGCATGCGCAGCAAATCGTTCATGGCTTCGGCAAGCCGCGGACAACGTTTGAGTGCATTTATACGAACACTTTCACGTCCAAGGTAAGCCGCGGCTTGGATAAGCCCAGCCCAAAACCCCTCGGCCAGGATAAGCCGCGGCTTGAGCTGCCCGTGGGTTGAATAGGCCCGTGAACGTAGATTTTGTATCATTTATACCTGCTGTTTGCGTCTTATGACTAGGCCGTGGTTTATTTTGTCTCGTATGAACGGCCCTACTGTTACCTTATAAATCACTTTAGAACGAAGAATCTATTCACTCAAGTTAACGTCTAATAGACCTTTTTAGCTGGTATTTTTGGTTTCCCCAATAAAGGAGCCTGGGCTCCTAGCCTTTGTCGTTTCGTAAATTATGCAAACATATTAAGCACCTGATAAGACGAAATCTCAAAGAAACAGTTATCTAGAACATTATCACATGACCTGTATTGGGAAAAAACAAGGAAAAGAGGTCTATTGTATGGACATTTCAAAGAGTTACTCTTACAATCCCTTTGTTATTGTAGTTTCTGTTTCTTTGATGGTTTTTAGCTCTATGGAAGACAATCAAATCATGAACCTAACAAAACTTGTCCAGTCGGGGAACATATCGATTCGCAGATTGTAAGTGTACACTTAAATATAGCAATCTTGTTTGCGAGACTGTTGCAAACATTTTTTTAGAGTAAAAATCCCTAAAATGAACATGTGTTACAAAGTGTTCATTACTCCAACCGTTAAAGGTGTGGTAAGACGAAAAACAAAACACGCACAACTTGTTTTACAACATTGCTGCAAACTAACCAGTTAAAAAGCGATGTTGCGTTATTTTTCTTGCAACAAAAGTTGTTGCAGGAGGTAGAGAGTAATTCCACTTTTTGCAACAAAGTGGGTGGAAAAACGCGCAACATCGCTTTTCAATTCGTTTTGCAGCAATGTTTTGAAACAAGTTACGCGTTTAATCGTAGCTTTACACACTGAGTTCTTCCATATTAATATAGATGGATGCGCGCATGTCTACTGATACTAAAAAGGTGGAGGAGGCGCCAAAATTAAAGAGCTAGAAGTTCTTAGCTCATTCAGTTTTCTGAACAACAGTATATAAAATCTTCTTTTTTGAGCCATAAAGGAGGTGTGGGGGCTTAATATGAGATAGAAAAATTTTGCTTAACGATAAAAAGAACGACGTTCTCTTAAACTTCTTATGCATTTGATAAATCCGATGACAACTGTCGTTCTCAACTCTTACTACCGAAACTGGTAGTCTGCGAATTCAAAGACAGGCGTGATAGTAGCCTGCGAAATTGACGCTTCTCCTTGCTGATCGCCTCTGGGGGACGTTTCGCAAGAAAGAAGATCTGCGACTCAATGACAGAAATTCCATACTGATGACGTATAAGCTGTCCGGAATACGGTCATAATCGCTGATTGGACGGAGAAGTTACATTCTTTTAGCTATTGTTTACGAATGACAGACAAAAGGCTAAAAAAATGAAATGTAAAGGCCAAGAATCTATAATAAAACAGTCAATATTTGTAGAATATATTCTTCTCTAGAAGAAGCATTTGAGTTTTGCTGGAGTTCGTTCGCAATTGAACACAATCTTTACCAAAATTGACCAGCAGAAACGTAAAATTGAACAAATTTGCATTTGGAACCCCACGTACCAGATTTATCATGTAAACATTGAGTTACGTCATCAGTATGGAATTTCTGTCGCTGAGTCGCAGACGTTCCTCCTCGCGGAACGTCCCCAGCGGCTAGGAGCGTGGAGAAAAGGCTGTTCTCGCAGGCTAGCGTGATAGTTAACGACTTAGGTCATGTGGCTTTGTTTGTCAAACCAAAAAGGTGAACTCACTTGGTAATATTCTTTTCTCATTGCTGGCTTCGTTGCTCGCGCATCAGAGTTTTCAGAGTTTTAATATAGCGCTAGAAGGCTGGAAGCGAAAGAACGTCCATCGATTGACTTCCTACGAACGAACAATTCTCCTTTTTGCTTGACAAAGAACACCATTGTGCATTTTACTTGACTTAGCATATGTTTGACCGGCCAAACGCTCAGGAATGTGACCACGTGAGTTCACCTTTTCGGTTGGACAAACAAAGCCATGTAACTCGAACTTGTGGTCCCAAAATCAAGTCTCTCAATTCACGGTCTACCGGCTGTTTCGGTAGTAACAGTTCTCTTCTTTATTTTTTTGCTGGTTTCCCTTTTTGTTGCTGTTTTTGTTTGTTTGGTTTGTTTATTTCCACTTTTACAGTGTTCTGTAGCTTGGTTATGAAATGAGATTTATCACTTCACCAAGGTCATCAAGTGGGTCTATTTTTCTATTACTTGAAATACTAATTCGCTTTATTTTACTACATTTATTTTGTTACATCTTTCAGAGACCTGGGTCAAAATCAGATTGCTCATTTGCCAGCCACTATTTTTCAACAGCTTTCTGTCGTTAGTGAACTGTAAGTTGACCCACATAATTACATCAATCATATATCACATAAAAAGTGTATATAATATTGATTCAGGCTCTGTCTGAATGAACAAAAAAAACAGTCATAACATAGCTAGAATATAATAAGAATAATAAGAACATTTAAAACTTGATATAGCGCCTTTTAACATTCAAATGATCAAAAGCGCTTTACATGAATTTAAAAATATATATAAAAATACAATAACTATAATCTATTTTTTTGTAAGCTTGCGAGCGGGCGGAATCCTCCAAATGCTGCAATCTGATTGGTTCCGAGAGCGGGCAGTTTTTTGCGATCTTGTCCGCTAACCCGGGCGGAATCGTTGGCAGCTTCATTCACGAGTTTGTTTGTTGTTGTGAATGAGCAAAACCGGTGATTCAGAACCATTTTTCTTTTAAAACTTGCGCTATTATTAGCGTTAGCTACGGAAAAGTGGATTTGTTACTCAGACAAAACATCTGAAGGGAGAATCAAGCAAGTCAGCCAGGAAAACCGCTAAAGTAAAGTACAACAGGTTGCTCGTGATGTTGCTTCACTAGTTTTATCTGTAAGTACTGCAATCTTGCTCTCATGCACCGTTTATGACTCAAAAACCTTTCTTTATTCTAAAAGACAGCTTAATTGTGGTTATATAAATTACAAGTTGAAAATCAAGTTGTAATGTTTTGTTTTGGTTTGCAATCGATCACGCGCTTTGAATAACATCAACACAAACGCGCCCTTCTTCAACACACATAGGTTGGGGGATGAAATAAAATTTTCCTGAAACTTAAATCTCAGCAGGAAAAAAATAAAAATGTTATTCACCGGCCTAGGTCGGTCCGTATTGGGAGAAACTGTGCCCATGGGCGGTACTCAAGACCTCCGGCACAGTTTCTCCCAATACGGACCTCCCAGCCGGTGAATAACATACATGAATTATAAAAAATATCTATAAAACCTAATACTAAAAATACACAATTGACCACCCCCAAGAAAAGCTACTCGTTGTAAGCTAAATTAAAAAGATGTGTCTCAAGTTTTTTCTTAAAAATGCTGGGTGATGTTATTTCCTGAATATTTGCGGGAAGTCTGTTCCACAGTGTGGGGGCAGCAGCATAAAATGAACGAGCTCCTAATGTAGATAGCATGCACCCCTTGGGACGGTCAAAAAATAATGAAGAATTCAATGAGCCAGTGCCTTATATCTTTAATGCAATCCTCCATTACGTGAATGACCTCATCCTGCGCGTTAACATCATCGGGCTTGAAAGTCAGGTATAGCTCAGTATCATCCGCGTAACAATGAGCCTCGGGGAGACGACGTTCGATAACCTTGAACAGCGTAGAAGTGTGCATAACAAATAGTAGAGGACCTAAACAGGACCCTTGAGGTACACAACAATTAACGTAGCGTTGATTAGACAGAGATCCTTCAATATAGACTTGTTGGCATCGATTAGAGAGATATGAACTAAACCAGTCGAGCGTAACACCGCGCACTCCAATGCCCTTGTCAAGTCTCTCCAACAGAATGTCGTGATTGACAGTGTCAGTAGATAGCAGGTATCGAACACAGTCCCATAGGCTAAAAAGGTTACGCACATACGTGGACAATAGAATATGGCGCGTCATTTCAATCATCACCGAAAATAAACCGCATACTCATCACGAGACTCATTTGCATACAATGGGAGTCGTCACGATGCTTATCCCCAGTTTCCACGGCCTCCTCTAGGAACGCCTGGGACCATGGCCGACCATTTGGGGAAGGCAACCGAAAAAAGGGAAACGCCTGCATTTCTAGAGTCTTAATTAACAATTATTCTTTGAAATCGAGGTAAATAGTGGCTGAAAGCCTAAAGGCGGCTCGGTAAATATTCCTAAAGCCACTATTCACCAAGATTTAAGAGAATAATTGTCTTAGTGTATACACACGAAGTGATCTCAACAAAATCAGAAAAGAAACCATTACAAAGTACGATTTCATTGGCAGATCTGACTCAAGCGTGAAAATTTGCACGCAGCGGTATTACAATGCATGCGCAAACGTTAGATCTTTGCAGAATTTTGAAACTTGGTAATTCGCAAGTTAATCATTTCGCAAAAAATTTGAATTCTTTCCTTACTTGAGAAGAAAAGTAGTGCTTTTATTATTAATTTCTGTTACTGGAAACGTGGAATTTCCGCTACACATTTGCCTCTATGTTCGTTTGTCTTAAACTTCGATTTTTGGGCAAAACTTTTCTTGTTAGGAAACGGTGAGTTTACAAAACGGCCCTTTTCTTATTGATTGAACAGTAGTTGTAAACATGCCATCAAGCAAAAAAAAAAAACTAGCTTAAGTTAAAGGGAAAACGCTGTTTTGAATAATTGGGAGTCTTTTCTTGCCTTTAAAAACATCAATCCAGGGATTTTGTCGACTTTCGAAAGATCTTTCTCTACAAAAACTGGAAAAACACCGATTAGATTGCTTGAATCACCAACATCACTGACTGTATATATAGTAATTGTACATACCCATGTACAACTTTCAGCACTCTCGAAAAACAGTGAAAAGTGTTCGTCAGTTTCAGATCGAACTGGAATAGGCTAGTTTCAAATTATTTTAATTTACACTTGGCTCGAAGGCTGCGGGGTGTTAAAAAATAGCCTTGAGATTGAGGAACGAGTTATTCATTTCTTTTGTTCCATCCCCCTTAGTTCGGAGACTACTACGAATTTTAATAATTCGGGACTTGTGTATAAGGAAGTGTTGTTTTCTTAGGAAAAGGGAAAATTGGAAGAAGCATATTGGAACGAGCCGAGAGCGAGAATCTACAACAAACCCGCACCACCTATGCGCGGGGGATTGAACTAATGCCACATTGTTGGGAGGCGAATGCATCTAACAATGTGCCATATCGCTTGTTCCCCGCTTTAGTATTAGATGTGTATGATGTAAACCGCCAAATTCTTCTGTTTTTACCTGATTAAGTTAACTTCATTGCACCAGATAAATAAGGTTTTAGCTAGAGCCAATGGTACCTTTATTCTATCTGTACCATCCTTTTGATTGGTTTAAGAGGCCAAATTCATGAAAACTTCTTTAAGGTGCACATGTATTAATCCTTAGTTTTCCGACCGACTTTCTTATAACAATTCTCGTCTGAGTCTAAATAACTCAAAGTAAGGAGTAAATAACCAATGTGCGGAGCGTGGGAATTTGTAATTTTCATGGTTCGAATGATTAAGCAAAATTAATTCATAAAAAATGCCCTTCAAATAAAGGTTCTTCTTTTTAGCCTTGTAAACTTCGTTTCTGTAGGTTGGTGCATTCTCTGCATGAAAACGAAAACATTACTATGTGAGTTAGGAGCGCGTTATGCTCCTTAAGAAAACACTGGATTGCTTTCCACCTTACCACCTCATTTTTATACGCTATTTCAGCGGGCCTTGATGTGCAGAATAGTAACTTAGAGGGTAAGACATATTCTGGCGTTATGTTTCAGAGATTTGTCATTCAACAAGCTGCAATCAATACCTGATAGTGCTTTTCTTGGATGCAAGAGCTTACAACATTTGTAAGTTAATTTATGAACGGTTAAAATTCTACGAACACTCGATAATCTTATTTGTTAGGTGTGTTATTAATTTCTGTTTTTTTATATATATATATATAATTTAACAAACAGGGGTTTAAGTTTCAACAACATCAGTCAGATCAACCGTCACAGTTTTGCTGGACTTAAAAACCTAAGAAGATTGTAAGTTACAATTTACAGTACCTTAAGAATTTTCTAGTCCTTTATTCTAATTATCCAAACCCTTCTTCATTCTGGCCTTTTTTCTTAAATTCCTGACTCCACAGTTTCAAAATATTACGTCGCAAGTAGCGATGACTGAATCTATTTCGGCCAAAAATGATTTAACATGAGTCCATAATAAGAAAGTCTTTAATTGCTACTTCAGCAATACCTTACCAACCGGGGCCGCTATTTGGCTACGACGTATGTCGTCACGCGGCCTAAAAGCACGTGATCGCAAAGCATAATCTGATTTTTTTGCGTCTGTTGGATAATAATAACAAATACTATAATTATAATTATAATTATAATTATAATGACGCTGTGTATTAAATCAGTAAATCATACGAATGCTAATTATTGTTTTAGTTTTCATTCAAAATAGTGTAAAATTTCCCCGGGCAGTTTAAGGAGATGAAGAAGGAAAGAGAGAGGCGTTTATTCTAACAGATATTCCTCATATCCGTCGAGTGGTATTTCTATTCTATTCTTTTTAATGTTTTTTTTTTGGTCAACTTTCTTCTTCCCATAACGTGTAAAATCTTCTGCCATTTTCTCTAGCAATGAACTGACCTGTGGTAGCTCGTTGTGGTGACTGTTTTGCAAAAATCTTGTTAAATGGCGATGCTCAAATTTAAGAGGTATCCCCCCTAAAATATCCAGTCGAGTCAGAATAAATACTATACGCTTAGGTTGATAAAAGCATGTAACACAGTCTGACCTGCTTTTGTTTTAAGGATGATGATCCACAATAATTTGAAGGTTATTCCCGATTATGCCTTTGCCGAAACTCAACTGAAGTCTCTGTGAGTGTATTGAAACAATGGTAACTTAATGTCGATGTCACGTTCTTTGTTCAAGTATGTTGGTCGATATATTATTATTGAACATTATTTACAATTATATGAAAGAAGATCATCGCAGTTATAGACGCATCTTTTGGAGTTGCGAAAAGCCTGATTTTTTCAGGCTTTCGTTTCGCAAATGCAAAAGTTGCGTCTATAAAACGATTTTACTGTCACGCCATTAAAATGTAGTCAATGGAACGTGACGCTAGATATCAGTAACCCAGATATCAGTAATTTTTCTGTCCAAATGGAATGGGCGCTCCTTTTTTCTATAATCTGGGCCGCGTTTAACCTGGCCTTTTTCGCTCTCCTGCGCGGTAGCGAATATACCTACAGCAGGGTGCGCAAATTTCTCCAACAATTCGATCTTTCTACCGAATGCATAAGTTTTCACCCCAGCCTGGCGCGCTCGTATTGCATAACAGTATATCTAAAATCGTCTAAGACAAATATTGCTAGAGAAGGTCAGTCACTCACTTTAGCTCACACCTTGTCGCCCCTTTACGCCGTTGCTGCTATGCAAGAGTATTTTCTCTCAGCTAGGACCTTTGTTTTATTTCCAATCAGGTCGTTACCTCACCCCGGGCATCGTTTCTGACCTCCTTAGGGATAGTGCTAGGGTCGCTGGCCCACCTTATCAAAGCCTCAAAGAGCATAGCCTTCGCATCAGTTCGGCCTCCGTTGCAGCCGCCGCCGGCCTGCCAGATTGGCAAAGTTCTTGGTCGCTGGTCCTCGGACTGTTGGCTGTATATCAGAACTCCGCAATTTACATTAGAGTCTGTGGCTCCCAGGATGGCTATTGTTCCTCGACGCTTCCAGCCAATCTAGCTTCCGTTTTTTCTACTTGTTTATTCGTTCTCTTGTTTGGGCTTGGGGGATGCTTTGCCTCGCATGCATCAGTAGCGGTTAAGTCTGCACAGCGACTTCCCCTAAGCTTGTTAACCGCGTTACCGTTTAATATCGCCTGCAAACGGATACTCTTGTCCGATCCAGCACGTGCTGTATTGCATTCAGCTCGTAGTGCTGGGGTGATAAGTGAGTTTTTTGGTCACGTCATCGCCGGAAGTCCCACAGGCTAACCTAGGGCAAGGCAGTGCTCCCTCATTAATGCCAGCTTGTCATTATTTGTTTTATAATTAAGTTACTTCGCGTTTAACATGCATAGTAACGGAACAGAGCATTAAACTGCGGTGATTTTCTTTCCTATTATTCTCCATGTGATGATTTTCATATATTCATAACTTCATTATTTACATTTGTCTTCGTAGGTTTCTTCACAACAATGAGATCAAGCGCTTCGGAAAAAAAGCTTTTTACGGCCTTCAAACCCTTAGTACTTTGTAAGTGATAATCAGAAGTGAAAGTTTCACGTACAATTTATGCAGGTTGTTGTAAAGGATACATTACACATTAATTTTTCAACTTGTATTACTTGGCTGTAAACTACAGTTCATCACCTGAAATGCAGCTTTAAACATGATGCCAAGTGTATCGGAAAACTCGGACATGAATCTAAGTACGGAGAAAACTTGAACAAAAAAAGAAGGCAAACTGTTAACCAAGTGTTTCCGACATTTTGGAAGTGATGATGAATCCGTACCATGTGTCGGCAGCGCATTCAGGTACGGGACATGTAAAGTTGCCATAATTATTTTAGTGTGACTCGACTGAGGGACCTCTGTCGAGTGTCACGTGAATTATACGTTCGAAGGTTGCGAAGAATTTATTGCAAACTAACCTCTAAACAATGCAAGAGATGGTAACGTCCACCCTGTCACTCATTGAATTGATGGATACTTATACTACTACTAATTATTATTAGTATTATTATTATTATTATTATTATTATTATAACTACTTAATGATCTTCTCCTCTTATGGGTTTTTCAGGGATAATGAAACAATAATTCAAATGGAACAAAATATGTTTTAGAATCCCAGCCGGTAGGAGGCGAACCAGTTGCTATTTACAAGGGTGGTCGAGGATTTCAACTCCGGTCTACCGAGAAAAAATCCAGCAAGCGACCAGGGCAGAACCCGAGCTCGGGGCTTTCGAATCATTGCTCTAACTGCTCCACTAAATGGGGGGATACTATCACTTAATAAACGTGACCTTTGGATACACATGAATTCCAAATCGTTAGATCAGTTGCTTTGTTATAGATTTTTCCGGCTGTTGCTCATAATTGTTACTAGATTTTTTTCGTGTTACTTAGAATTGAACATTTTTCTTCCAGGACACTTTTCGACAACCCTTTAACAGCATTGCCAAATGATCTGCTTGATTTATTAACAAACGCATCCAAAGTGTAAGTGAAAATAATAAAATTAAGTGATACAAACAATAAACTTAGTTTGGATAAGATACCAAATAACATACAAATATTTCCTTAGACACATCAACAGAAATATCGATCAATAACGAATTTAAAAAAACACAAACGACATCGCGAGTATAACTGGCAATCTACAAAGGCAAAACCTTTATTCATGGTCGTTCACTATACACGTACAGTCCAACCTCTCTGTACCGACACCTCTCTAATACGGACACACCTCTATTACGGACACTTTCCAATTTCCCGAAAAAATTCTCATATATTTTCTTTAAAAAAACCTATAAAATACGGTGTCTCTAATACGGACAACGGACACTGAATCTCGGCCCCAGAGAAAAAATTCATATAAACTTAAATATAACACTGCGGTGATCAGGTCGATCCCGAATCCCATTCAGGTGAATCCGCACAGGGTGAATCCCGTCTGGCTGATAAGCTATGCAAGCTGTTTTCAAAAGCCCAGTCGCTGAGTATGTCAAACAACGATTTGCAAAAGGTGTACAAAGGAAGATAACCGACTTTTTTAAATAACTACAGATAGCATAAAGATCTTTTCTATCACATTTTGTACTCAGTACTGTTTACTGACTTGCAAAATAACGGAAGACGCTTTCAGAATTGTACTTTACGTTTTACAACTTTTTATTTGCAACATTGCCATGTAGCTCGTTTCGTTTTAAAAGTGATTTGTCCACTTTGTTGCTGAGATGTACAATTTTGTATGCTACTGTCTTTGTACTGTGAATTAATAAATTTAAATGCAGTTTAAAGATGAGTGTGAGCCTGGTTTTAGTTACTGAATACTTAAAACTGTAAGTGGAGTCATAAAAGTGACGTCATCATAGTGACCTCTTTTATACGGACACCTCTCTAATACGGATACTTTGCTCTGTCCCTTCGGTGTCCGTATTAGAGAGGTTCGACTGTATAAGTGAGAATATATTTATTTTTGTTCCAGGTCTGTAACATGTAGCAATCTTCATCGGCTGTCATTTCCGCCCCATCTAGAATTCTCGTCAGTACTGTATGTATCTCTGTCCTGCGCGGGGTATTCCTGGGAATTCGCGGTGGGGGTGTGCCGCCGGTTCTCCAAATCCTCACCCTTTTTCAGACCAAAAAAATTGTCATTTTCCACACCTGATTTTAGACATGGCCTCTAAAAATCCATTTCCGTTGTCAGACCTGGCGTAGGCAGAAATTATGTTATTATTACTTAGATTAGAACGCCAACAAAAAGATTTCTTAAAATCCATTTGGAATTTGCCAATTACTCTTTCTTTCTTATTCATTTGGAATTGAAACGACAAATTGATACGTTTGTGCACTTCCGTATTCCCTTGAAAGCCATAACCGAATTCAGACCTCAATAGGTAAAGCCTATTTCCGTTTTCAGAGCAAAACGGCGCAAAAACCACATCCTTTGGGGCGGCACATACCTACAAGGCAAATATAAGGGAGTACTCCTCCGGGATTTGTGTCGATATGAACCATGATCTCTTTACTAAATAAATGCAAGTCACGTGTGTGACAGATATAGCTATGTGAGAATGTTTGATTATTCCATGCATCGTTTTAGTAACCCGGCAAGAAAGTTGTTTTTTTATTTTACTTACTAATTAAATAATTACTTATTAACTTAACAAAACTAAAGCGAGCTCCAACTGGTCAATTACCCATTTAAGAATTGGTTATGGTTAACGTATCTATATCGAGTTTTATTCATCTGTATACACACGGGACGGGACGCTTGTAGAGGGCAAGACTGACGCGTAGCAATTAAAGGTCGCTACCGTTTTTAAGAGACTTAGAAAATTTTTGACCTATTTTGGAGGGTTTTTCTATTCAAAAGAAAAGAAATCGCAACCCAGGGTCGAACCAGGAACTCGGACTATTCGCAATCTCTCTCTCTCTCTCTCTCTCTCTCTCTCTCTCTCTCTCTCTCTCTCTCTCTCTCTCTCTCTCTCTCTCTCTCTCTCTCTCTCTAAATTTGCCCTACTGTAACTTAATCCAGGGAATATGTCACATCTATCATTACTAAGGCCATGGATACCAATGGTGGCATCGACCGTTAAAACTGGTAAGAACCGTTTACGAAAGGGGAATACGTGCCGCCTTCACAATTGCGTTTTTTGCTGCCGTTAATCATCATTACGATCACAAACAACGAACCTTGAAAGAAAGAAACACACAAAACAGATCAAAATCCACCAATCACAAACAATGACCGTTTAAACGTGTTAAAGTAATCTTCTGTTTCTTGAGAGGTCCGTTTAGTTTACTTACGGCAGAGAAAAACGCAAACGTCAGTTGGCTTTTGAATTTCAGAATTCGCGTTTTATTTTTTTTTGCGGGGGGGGAAGGGAAGTGCAGTAACTAAAGAACGTGAAACCCTGACTATTATGGCTTGAAATGTGTCATATTCCTAACTGTATTCATTAGCCTCTGCAATCAAACCCAACACGTGGTTTTTTCGAAAGAGAATTTTCTCATCTCTTTTATTCTCTTATTTCAGGGACTGTGCTCCTTCCACCACTTTTTACACCATTGTAAAGGATGAAGTGGCTTATGATTTAAAGAGCTTTAGAAAATCAGGGTTTATATGCCATCCATGTCCCCATTATCATTTTTTCCACTCAGTGTGCTGGAATTGTACGTTTTGCAAAGACGGATTGAAATCTCTGGATGACTCTTGCAAGGCGTGCCCTGCTGGTAAGTGAGATTACATTGCTATGAAATACAATACGTGTACTACGTACTTGTTAGCGGTTGACAGGGAGGACAAAGGCAGCACCTTCATTTTTAAGTTATTTTAAGAACCCGAGTATTGATCCTGCCCCGGAGATGGAACCCACGACCTTCCACTCTGCAGTCAAAGGCTCTACCAACTAAGCTAAGCCTGCCGCTGTTAAAAGAGAAAAAAACCTTATCATGCACGGTTTTGGAAGCCGTTTTGACGAGTAGGCAACCGCGTAAGAAATTAATGCAATATGTGAATCTAATGTGGAATAATTTTCCTTAAGCGGCTGTTCTGAAAAACACTTCACCCTTAACGATTCAACTGAAAAAACAAATTGAGGGCGTTAGATGCAGCTAAAGTAATGTATTTATCGCAGGCACAAACAGGTGACGTCCCACCCAGTATCGCTTTCCAAGGACACCATTATATTGCAGCACATATTTATAAAGAAATACGTTTTAATAAATGATTTCATTGCTATCATATCTTAAGGAGGTTTTTACCAGGACCAAATGGGACAGATAACCTGCAAGCACTGTAGCATTGGAACCTACGTATCAATAGAGCGACATCCTGGTAAACGTGCCTCGGACTGTTGGGCATGTCCGTACGGTAGGAAACATTAATCATTACGATTTGGACCATTAACGTATTGACTAGACGAAACACATCCAAACTTTGTTATTTACAGACGTATTGCAATGTCAATTTACTTCTTTGACCCTTTCCTTCGAGTTTAAAACAGATGTATATTCTTTCTCTATAGTGATTGACAGTTTTCAGGGATGACGTTTTCGTTGTTTTTTAATTTCCCTGTAGGATTAAATCTTTTAAGTGATCGAAGATAGACATAAAGCTCACAATAAACCCATTAATACTCTTTCATGCCTGGTCCATGCCAGGGAACGTTCAGGAAATTTATGAACTATCGGTCGCGCGGCTACCGACTGAACCGTATGACCATACGATTCTCTCCCTACCCGTAAGGTGTCCTTTCATCGGTCGGGGAAAACAGTAACACAACATTGTTCATCATTATTTCCATTGTTTTAGCGTAGCAAGTCATTTGGCTTTTAGGGTTAGAAGAGCTGCTACATGACCCCTCTCCCCGGAATGAAGAAAAACTATATGGCCAACGTTCTCCTTTATTAACAACGTTGAACATTTATTTAGGCAAACAAACAGTTAAGTTAAAAAAGGATTTTACAAAAGTCTCAAGAGTAGGTCTCCTTTTCGACTTTAACTGGCAATATCGGTCAATTTACGCAACTTTTAAACTTCTGTCTCAGTTTTCGTTTGATTCTGCTTTGAAAATGAAATAATAATTACTCAGAGACAATACAGTGTAAAGAATTGTTGAGAAACAACGCAAAAACGTGCCAATTTCTGACAAAAAAGGTACTTTAAAAACTAACTAAAACATTGAAACGCTTTGATCACAAGACTGATGACGTCATGTCATGTCTCTCTTTAAATCATGAAAAAATTATCAGGCAAAACGTTACTTTCCCGCAAATTTTCTCTGCCGTGTGATTAAAGGTTGACTCTCTACAGCCCTCGGCCTATTCTCCCGACTTTTTCGCTCATATTCATTACCCACTTAAATTTTAAATGCCGGACGTCAACTGGTTATTTTTAAATGCCCCACACAACTAAAACCTCAAATATGCTATTTGTTTGTCAACGTAACCATAATGTTAATTTCATTGTCACTATCAGATGTAAATCGTCTATTTTTAAGCCGGGTGACCTCCTACCCCTAAGCATTGTAATGTCACGCTGTGACATTACTCTAGTTTCTGTCAGCAGGATATATTTTAACAAGAAAATGTTACTATCTTTTTCTAGGTACGCTTTCCAATGAATCCGCTGGTTATCGTGCTTGCAGATGCCTTGAAGGGTTTTACCGCTTGCATCGTTTTGGTCCATGCTCAGAATGTCCAGCTCACGGCATCAATTGCGTCAACGACACAGCAATACTTGCACCAAACTATTACTGGAAGTGGACCAATCAAAGTAACAGCTTTTTTTATAAGAATTTCGTGCAAAACATCCATTCTTACGAAGCTGATTACAATCAGAACTACTCCAGATTTATCATGCCTCTTCCACAGCCAGTGAAATGTCCGTATGCTGGGTCTTGCAAGGGTGGAATAGACTCGGATTGCAATGAGGGATACCAGGGAAACTTGTGCGCTATTTGCAGAAGTGGCTACTACCTAAGATTTAGCACGTGCATAAAATGTCCGAGTCTTGCAGTTGCTAGCGTCTCATCCTTTGTGGTTGTGGCTTTGTTTGTTATTGTCTTCCTAATGATTTTTTGGGGCGACTCGAAACAAACTGACAATAATCGTACTCTCGCAGATGTCATTATGTCGTGTTTTAAAATCGTTATAGGATTTTATCAAGTTATTTCCGGTATCTTTACGGCATTGACGAGAGTGAAATGGCCAGTAGCTTTGATCCCAATGGGACAATTTCTGAAGGTGTTTGAAGGAAATATTTTTCAGTTTGCTCCGATAAGCTGTATCAATTCTCAACTGCGACTAAATGCATATTTGAAGTTCATTCTCGTTCTTTCAGTTAATTTTTTTGTGGTTTCTATCATTCTGGCTTACATCTTTCTGAAAAAAAGACGAATCAACAAGAGGAAGGATTGGTCCAATGGCGAAAAGCTGTGTGAAGTTTCGTGCTTGAAGAAATCCTGTTACCGGAACATTTTCCTGTTTTTGCTGGCTTCATACCCAGTGACAAGTAAAACAATCATCCAAATCATTCCCCTCCCAGGCGCATGCGTGACGCATTGCTTCACGGATCACAAGAACCAATGTATCTCTCTTCTGAAAGCTGACTACTCCCTCCAGTGCTTTACTGCCCAACACAAGATCTTCTGGCCAGTTGCCGCAGTGTTTTCCGTGTATCCTGTTGGATTTCCTATTTTGATGCTCTTTCTTATTTACAAATACCGAAAATCGCAGCGAAATGAAGAACTTGCTTTCGGATTAAAAGTCTTTTTTGAAAACTATAAGAACGAATTTTGGTTTTGGGAGGTAACCTAGATGTACCGCAAACTGATACTAATCTCGTTAATTTTCCTTTTTGGTTCTGATCGAGTATTTCAGATTGGACTGACTTTGCTGGTTGTGAGTGTATTTGGTGTGACCTATACCTTATTCCGTCCGATAAAGACCAAGTTTGAGGACTTACTACAGAACGTTGTGCTATGGGTTGTTTTCTTTGACGTTTGTCTTGGAGCAATTTACAGCACTTGTGATGGGACAAAAGATCATCAAGGAAATGATTCCTTAATCATAAACATCCTTTTCGTCGTCCTCAACAGTTCTATAATCCTGGTCGCTTTAGGTAACATCTGCTTTTAAACATTCTCTTACAACGCAACTTTTCTTGACAGTCAAACCAATAGGAAGGTTGTTACGGTGTTTGAAGAAATGTTTTCTGAGGCAAAATTGGTTTGAATTTTTTCACTGTAATACAGTCAACTATTTCTCAGCGGGGACCTCTATAGGACGGCAGCCTTGGTAAACGAGCACCCAGGGTTGGTCCCTGATTTCCTGTTCCTTTTATTTGACTCGTTGTAAGTAGTATATCACTTAGTGCCGGTGCTAAAGCTCCTAACTTTCAGAAAGGACTGTTAACTTTTTCGTGGCAAATTACTTCTCCCCCACACCCCCTCCCACCAGTCACGGTTGCACGGTATAAATGCTCCTTGGCCCCTTACCGTGTACTTGAATTCTACTCGTTAATTGTCAACCAGGAGAGAAAGCAGAGACGACCACGTGTTCCTCAATCTGTGAACGCCGGTCACCGTTGGCGCGGTAAATGCTGCTTTGCGAGCAGAGGCGAACTAATCATAGGAGACTAAGGAGGTACCCACAAAATGAAATTTTTGAGTCACATCCCTGGAATTAAGTTTATTGGCAAAATGCTATGAGCGTTTCATTTAAAAAAACTGAGCCAGTTTAAAAGTGATGTACTATCCTGTCGATGTAAGAATTTCAGCCTCAAACAAGCGTCAGGTCTGAAAGGGGAAGTCCAGACCCCCCGGGCCCTCCCCCTGGATCCGCCACTGTAAAGATGTCCGAGAACAGAGCAGAGTGGACTATATACTACTTTATTTTATAAGTTCGCAATATATATCCACAAGTTATATATATATATATATATATATATATATATATATATATATATATATATATATATATATATAAATATTGGAAGTAGGAAAAAACTACACTTTCATCCCGACAAGCCTGTTTCGTGATCTCTCACTCTTCAGGGGATTTTAATAATAAGAATATTCATAACCATCGACTATATACTTTGAGATTACATTGTTGGGGAAAATTTAAATTTAAATGTTTAATTGTTACATAGCAACGCTTTGTTTCTGTGGCGGCAAGAAGAGACAAGTTCGTTACGTTTGTTAAGTGATGATAGATTGGGACGACAGATAATTAAAAATTTCTCTTTGAGGGAAAAGTTTTGCTAAATATAGCCATAAGTATCCCGGCAATCTTTTCAATAGTTTTAAAACTGCGACACAAAGAAAATCCATGATTTCCTTTATATTTTTCAGGTAAAGGGGTTGTCTACGCATCGTATTTCCGCAAAACGATGTTTCCAAGTCTGTTCATTTGCACTCATTTCATTTACAATGGACTTTTTCATATCAAAAGACTGATTGCCAGTTTCTTTTGCCGTCTGACTTTCTTTGGTCGAAGATTGCGACCACATGACGCGCTAAGGCAGCCTTTGATCGAGGAGTTCAATTGATAGAGATGTGACTTCAAACCCAACTGGAAGAAACATTTTTTTTCATTTTTTAGTGAACTTTAAGACAGATTTTTGCTTTAAGTTGTTGTAATTGATTAATTCAGCCCATGATGATTCCCTTATAGTGTTTTCACAGTTTATCTGTTTAGCAACTCGTTGGAAATTGTCTTTTACTACTTGTTATTAAAAATGAATAAAACAAGCCAATAATAATTTAATAAAATTAGAGAAAGAAATATATAACGAAGGATGATAAATATTTTCCATTGTTTAAAGGACTTTAAGCTAAGAAAGGTGGTAATAATTAAAAATGACATGCGTATTCAAATATCATACTCTGTGGAATTGGCTGATAGCATTGTGTCTATGGCCCGAGTTTTGACCACAAGATTCATATTATGTTATGTTATCTTTATCTTTATTCTTTGTATTAACTTCCCTCTGAAGTTCTACATAGTTGCAAAAAATGGGTCGAAATCCCAAGGGGATACTTTCTTCTAAGAGGCTAATGGGGATGTGCCGCTGGATGGGGTGGCTGGATTGACAACAATCAGTGGAGTTGCATTTTAAATACAGTTACTAGAAAAGAGTCGCACATTTTCGGATTTTGGGGGTAAGAATGTTGTTTCACATTTGCGGTTAGCGAACGTACCAGAATGTTTGTACTGTAGGTGAAAAGTAAAATGTTCTTCATGCAATTTAAAAGATGGGTCAAATAATAATAATAAAAATGGCTTAATAACAGTGTCTCCACCTAGTGGCTCTTCACCTGTTAAAACGCTACAATATAAAGCATGACATGTACAATATGCTGCAAAACTAAAATATGAAATCTACAGTATGAAAAGCAATAGTATCGGATATTGTAAAAATGTAATAGAGATTAGTAATAGTAATACAACCCTATCTGCAATTTACAAACTATTTACAAATGTTACTTAATAGGTAGGCATTAACTTCCCTACAGTGTACTTTGAAATCTCTACAGTTTCTAATATTTGCCAGAAGAACATTAAATAACTTGGCAGCAGAGCCTTGAAAGGTGTCCTTCTCCATTAACCTTGTTGAAATTCCAGCAAAGGGTAATAGACAGTGTCACAATAGTCGAGTTTTAACAGCATCAGTGACTCCACTAAGTGCTTTCTAACTCTATAGCCGGCAAAGTTCTTCAGTTTTCTTATTATTTGTGTTGTTCCGTAACAGCTCTTTCACGTTGCTTGCACGTGCTCTTCCCAATCAATTCATTCTAGGATGACCTAGTTATAAGGAAGTTATAAATAAATAGAAAGTGAATAAGTTGGAATAGACCGTTGTAATGGAAGAAATGCCTCACAAATCAAGAAAATAGACCAACCCACGTGTCGCGATTCGAAGCCATGGCAATGACATGGCAGGCGAGTGCTCCTACCCTTGCTCTTCGATTGCTCCCAGCTTGAACATTAAGAGGCAATAGAGACTTTCTGGTTGCAGGCCGGGGGAGTGAATTCGAAAATCTTTCAGGTGAATTCCTGGTTACTTTACTTCTATCCCTTTTGTTTTTATTTGGCAGAAATCGCCCATTTAATTTGGTAACCCTTAATTAAAAGCATTTGCGAGAAGGAACCAAAAGGTAAGCGAATATCAAGATTAGCTTCACCTCTTTGCAGAAAAACCTAAATCACCGAAATGTAATACGCTAGCTGGACAGCCACCCAATCCCATTACACAAATTTTACGTCTCCTCCCAGGCTCCCTTCGATGCTGTGTGATATCTATTTCACCTACTCTGAAATTTGCACCGATCACCAAGGAGTTATAAGTAAGCAATTACTGGGAGACATGCTCTTTTTTTCTAATATTAAATGATAGGGCACGTCAGAAGGTTGAAAGGACACCGTCCACGAGTTTTCCTTCTCGGGTGCTCAGTTTACTTCTTCCGCCCCGGAAAAGCCTGGTTCTCCCTGCTCGGCTGAGGCGCTCATGGGGGTCCCCAGTGGTGCCAACAGTTGACCTCCATGTGCTCCCAAGCTTTGCTGTCCTCCGCCAACTGAAAGAACGAATTTCGTGAGAAAGGGGAAATTTTGGGCATTGATTATTTTTGTTACATATTGGTTGAATAGTACATATAAGCACATCAGATCACTAATATTAGCCCCACCAGGTCTTGGTTTACCATGTGTCGGGTGGTACAGAGCGTATTTAGAAATAAGGCCCTTCTAGGGGCGCCGAAGACAATGGCTCAGGAATCTGATCTGTCGGGCTTTAACTGATTGAGAAAGGGGAACTGTCAACAACGATGTTATTGGTCGTCTGTCAGTTAAGAGGTGATGTTATTGGCTATGAGGACTCGTAATGTCATTGGTTTGTTTCGATCCGTCTGTTGTCGCCGTTGAAAAGACGTTTATTGTTAATCAAATTGTCAGTTGTCCAATCAATCTCTCGTAGTTAGTTTTGCTTGATTCCGTCAATGAGTCCTTTGTACCGCGCCTAACTGTTAACTACGATTCAGTGACGTTTGCTCTAAGTTAGTAAACCACCTTTCTAAAGTGAAATTTGGCAATTAAGCATGTAACAAGAGTTGCAATTGGAAAGTAATGGTAAAGAAAAACACTTGTACGCCATGGAACGTGCAGAAAGAAGCAAGTTTTCGCAAAAAATGTCAAACGAAACTACATTAGCAATTAATCATGCCACAAGAGTTGCAATTCGAAAGTCATCTTAAAAAAAAGTTTGCATTATTAATTTTGACCCTTATAACGCGCTATAGCCTTGCAGTTACAGCATTTGATCTTGTATATACTGCTCACTGTCTATCCTCCGGTTTGTCTTTGTCCTTGACATTAGTAAGTAGTAGTCGTAAGTGGTTATCGTTTTGTGTGTAACACGTATATTGGAAGGTTGTCAGTACCCGTGCGATAGAATCAATTGTTTTCACTAAAAACGTTGTTTAGGAAGTCAGTCTCGTCTTGTAGGCTGTCAGGTGAGTCGCAAACTAGTTGCGCTCGTCTCGTCAAAGTCCATATAGTCGTAGCCTTCTGAGAAGTCGCCGGGTTGTACGATGGCTGGTCTAGTAATCGGTCGGTACGTGTCGGTTTTCTGTAAATTACTGTTGTCGTGAGTGACCAAGCAGTCTAGAAAAGGTATTTTACCATTTTCCTCGATCTCCTTGGTAAACTGTATCTCCGCTTTCTATCTGTAGAGGTTTTCGTGAAAATCGTCGATTTCGTCTTTTTGTAAAGCAGTGAATGCGTCGTCAATCTAAGGTAACCAAAGAAGTATAGTTCGCGCGTAGGTAGCTAGGGCTTGTTCCTCGATGTTTTGCATAACAATTTCTGTTACGACAACAGAAACTGGAGAGCCCATAGCTGTACCGTGTAACTGTTTGTAGTGTTTGCCGTTGTACTGAAAGTACGTCGAAATCAAACAGAGGTTGAGTAGGTCCAAATGTTGAGTAGGTCCATAGTTGCCATCAGTGGGTAATGGGTTAAATATGATCGTGTCCTGCGGAGTGTAGCGCTGAATAGGGCCGGGCTGCGGTTAACTAGAATGATCTCGCCGTGATACTGACTGTATGTCAAATAACCAGTGATGTTACTGGCTGTGAAGACTAGATAAATGCGAGTGGTGCGTTTCGATCTGTATTTTTGTCATGCATTGTTAAACCTGTAACTGTATTTCTCATCTTTTTTTTTTTTTCTGAAGGCCAGCCATTTAATAAGTCGGTTGTAGTTTGTCGGTATAACACTGACGTTGATTCAGCTACTTTTGTTCTAAGTTAAGCTAAAGGGAGTCGCTAGAGGCAGATACTAATTAACTAATTTTGTGAACTTTGGCATGATTTTATCCAAAAGAAAGTGATAAACAATTGTCTCGAGGACCTAAATTTCTGCCAATCACGAAATGGCCCTTCAAACCCATAATAAATCCTTTCACCGTCAGTTAATGGTTCCTTTTTTTTTACCTGTTTACCTTTTCTCTTAAAGAACTCATGTATTACGTATAATCTGCTTCTAGAATCATTTTGCCAAATTTGACCTGATAAAGCTCAACTTTGAAAAAACCTTACCAGGTTCGAACCCCTACTCAAATTCCTCTTAGACCAAGATTTTGACTTAGTAAACAGGCCAATTATCAACCACTTTGTTCCGCTTAAGCCTCGTTGCTGTCTGCGAGATCATGCAACAGTTAATAGACCATATAACCTGCGAAAAGGCCGCAACTAGCAAAGGGCAAGATGATAGTGTTCAAAGGTGAAAAGATTTTGCTTGCTCTAGCCAGTGCATAAGGAATTGGAATGCTTCACTGAAATTCTTAAAAATGCATCTTGGAGTAATCTTTTCACTTCGATTTTAGCAGCTTATTAAGTAACAGTCTCAATTACAACAAAAAAATCATATATTTTTTTTAGGTATGACTTATAGTTGCGAACCTTCAAGACTACTATATATTTGGAACGTTTTTTGAAATGCAGTGCTCTTTAGTATCACGTCAGAACTATCAAGAGAATTTCAATGCAAGGTAGGGAAAAGCACAAGTAATAAATGATAATCATATCTTATAATCATTGAGCACTGTTCTGTATATTGCAGACAATTGTGTTATTTTTGCTAACTCATATCAAAGTTGCCATACCCAGTGGTAAACACTAGGTGATAAATGCACCAACCTAAAACTAATCTTCCATGTTAGCCTCTTATTTACAAGATTTCCTGTCGCATTCAATATTCTAGGCCGGCTAACTATAAAAAGGCTTTCTTTTTATTGATTTATTGATTTATTGATTTATTGATTATTTTATTTAACGTTTGTCTCGGATTCAAGTCTCACCTTTGTTTCCTTTAAATTGCTCGTGGTAGGTGATCACGTACACTTTTTCCAAACAAATATTCTCTAGATAGTCAAAGAAATTCAAGTCGGACGAGTAGAGATATAAAAAGCAATCATGGGTGATCTTAAACGTATACCGTAAAATGAGTGCAGTGGTATATTATGAAACAAGAACAAGGTTCAAGAAAATATATAACCATCATGATAAGATGACATAAACAAGATTTTGTAATCAAATTGACGAGAAATATACTTCAGTGCTACACAATTGTTTTTACTTTAAAGGTTAACTACATGTAGCTCTGTGACCTTCTTGGTAATTGTTCCGTGTAAGAGTTGGCTTAGAGTGGAATACTCCACGATACATATCCGCGTGTCAATAAACAAAATAAAAGAGAAATGAAGATGATATAAATTGACAAAGTTAGAAGTTAGCCGTAAATGCCCACGCTGAATTTGGCAACTCTTGTAAACGACAATATAGAAGTGTGAACGGGCAGCTGAATTCGAACGTTTCTGTTACGAAAGCTCAATGATAGATGAGACCTAAGCTGTTGTTTTAAAAGGAAGATAAAACGAAAAAATTTAAAAAAAATTGCGTCTCCAAAAAAATTAACAGTCCATTAACAACCGAACCACACTAAACTTTACAATCGGCAGATTGCTGTACCTTAAGTCGTCTACCATTATTATTTTCGGTGCTCAATTAATGACGTTTTGGAAACTGCGGATGATAGAACGTTTTTCCAAAAACGTTAAGCAAAATTCGCAAGCATGAATTACTGTGGCAACTAATTTTTTGGTGATTTTATTTAACGTTTGCAAAAATTACAAACTCTTGCTGTCCCAAGCGATATTAACCTAAAAGTATGCTATTGCGCATTTCAATTTACTAATAGATTTTGTGTTAGACTCATCACATTTATTAATAATCTAGTTAATTCCTTTTAGAAGACAGTCATGTTGTGACATTTATATTCCTTTTTTGCAGAAGTGAGAATAGGAACAAATTGTACATGGACGTTGACCGCTTTTAAATGAGTAGGATAATCAGGCTTTTGAACTTCAAATCTTAATTTACTTCAAAAAACATTTCGTGAGAAGCCGTTTCGTCCGAAATCGCTTTCCTTTAGTCTCAGAAAAATGTCTTGGTTTCGAAACATTCCAGAAATGAGAATACTCTCAGACCACGATCAGTAAAAACAAACCATCTAAATTATAACCTGCATATTTAAGGTCACATTTCACAAAACTGCATTGAACATATCCTGATAACCGCCTGACTTACATCAACCTCGTTCCCAGGTTTTCTCTCCTACACGTCTCTCTCGCTCCGTAGGGACGGGTAGGAGAGAAACCTGGGAACGAACTTGGACGCGGGTGTGAATAAGTCCATACTCATTTATTTCTCTCTCTCTCTCTCTCTCTCTCTCTCTCTCTCTCTCTCTCTCTCTCTCTCTCTCTCTCTCTCTCTCTCTCTCTCTCTCTCTCTCTCTCTAATTTCACTTACATATGTAATAGAACTGGAACTCGAGGGTTTTTTAATTGGGGTGTATTGGTTAACATCATTAAGGCTACGAGCCTTCAAAGACAGGATGGCCTTCAATAGTTTAGAGGGCAGCCAAATAACTTTATCGTCATAGCCGCAGTGTGATGTACTACCACAAAGCAAAAAAATGTTTAACTCAAAAAATTAAAAACAGTCGAACAATGATGAAAATCAAAAGGAAAATCAACCGTATTTATATGTTACAAATACTAAAACCCACCAAACCCACCAAACTGGAAAAAAATTCTGAGATTGGCAATTTTGTGAAGTATATAGGAAATAATTCACAATTTTATTAAAAATATTAGCACTTCTAAGAACTAAGTAAAACTTACAGAAAAAATGGCTGGTGGATTGACTTTTTATTTTGGTGTAATTTCAAGTAAATCTAAAAATCCTCAAAAAGCTTTTTAGAGATTGAAGTTTCTGGGTGTAGCTAGCTAGTTACCTTTACCGAGTTAAAAAGTAGCCAGCTCACTCAACTTTATTTCATTTAACTGTTTTCAAATTTTTGATGGCAACGAAAAGCTTAATTTAATTAATTAATAGTTTTTCAGTCATGGGTGTAAAACACATTGCCTGATTATTTTCTGGCTCAAATTAGGCTTGTCTTCTCTGCCTTTCTTGCTTTATCCAAAAACTATAAAGTTTGATGAAATATTTCCTTATGAGGGGCTCATTAATTTAAAAAAGAAAAGTTCAACGGCTGTGGAAAATGAATATTTAGCGAGGAAACTTTTCTTGTGACAATTAAAAAATAGATATTCCTCTAGAGAGGCTTGATATATTGATGAACTCATTTTTTACTTAGATTGTCACTGATGATGCGTGTGGTTCAAAGTCGAATGATTTTGTTTTTTTGGATTGCCGTGTCCTGCCAAAGTACACAGTGCCCACAGAATTGTAAATGTTCTCCATTTTGCGAAAACGTCAGAGTGAAATGCCTTGAAAGAGTCGTAGTCAAATGCAATGGTACTCACAAAGTACCAGACAGGATTCCTTCAAATGCGGTGATGCTGTAAGTTTCTGCAATGGTTAGTCTTGAGATACCAAATTTACTACTCGTTTCTCGTCTAATTAGCACCGATGCATTCGCGACGCATTATATGTAATTGTAGGCATCGGCAAAGTTTAAGGCTTGTCAGGAACTACTTTTTTAACATTTCTTCTCATTGTTAACTTTCAGTAATGGAGAAGTTAAAGAAAAAACTAGAATTGCGTCTATCGCAGAACCTCGCGTGGCTCGGATCAAGTTTGTGTAACATTCCCGATTTGTTAATATACTCGATTTAATCCTCTTGTAGTAATCTCTCTGGAAATTCCCTAGAATCCATACAAGAAGATGCTTTTGAAAACCTTGTTTTACTGAAGAAAATGTGAGTACCATAATACTTTGATTATAAAAGTTCTTCAGAATGTAACGAAACATCAAGATAGCACCTAAGTACAAGGTTTTCTTGAGAAGCTGTTTGTTGCTTTGTAACCCATAATATACCGACTGTATTTTTTCATGCGGTAAATATCTAAATTCATGTATTTGAAGGTCAGTAGGAATCATGTATTTTTTTACTTTCATGGCGACTGATGTCTTTTGGATGTCAACTAGTCAATCCATTTAAAAACAAAGTCTACATAAAAGCATTAGGTGGGTTCACACTGGACTTTTCAAGTGCACTTGAAGTGCATTTGAAGTGCACTTGAGACTAACTTGTATGTGAACAGGTCCTTTTTCACTTGACTGATCTTGACTAGTCGTACTTAGTTGTCACAGAAACTTCAAAACTTCAAAGTGCCGAAGTGCGCTCTCAAGTACGAACAAAACCTTCCTTGAGACTGCACTTATCCAATCAAAGCGTCGGAAGTTTATTACCAAAATGTTAATCATTTCGAGCCATAAATTTAATTTCACTCTCGCAAGCGAGCAAGCGAAAAATGATTGGTGAATGAGGATACTTTTGACCACGAAATGTAAGTGGGTTTTTCTCAGTTCTGATTCATGGGCTAGTTCAGAAATTTCACGATTTCTGTTTTTCACTGTATTCGACAGCGGAGAGGACGTTAGTGCAAGATCTGGCTGTGGAAACGGAATGAGCTATATTCCACAAGAGCAATTTTCCTGTTGTGCGTTTCGTTGAATGCAGTTTATTCGTTTTTCAACTCGTTCAAGCCACTTTTTCGTGTCCACCTGCAGCAATAAGCAGTCATAATATAAGTCAACCTAGCGTCTCATGAAAGATACAGAAAGCCACCGGCTACATTTACTCAAAAAGATTCAAGCGAGCCAGAAGATTGCATACGAAAGGGAAGGAACAGAACAGCTCTAGCGTGAGAGTGGGGACAAAGTAAAAACGATTAAAGCGCTCATCGACTGAAAAGAGAGGAGAGATATGGAGTGACATTTACGACTAGTATAAAGATCGGTTTGTTGAAAGCGTTAGAACGTCAGCCGATAGAAAGAATAAATAATCTGGAATACGATTTTAAATACTGGAAGCAACGAGCTCAAAATTCTGGTAAGTTGAGCTTGTCGAACGTCAAAGAAGGTTTTCCCTCACTTCGATTACTTAGATAGAATCACCCGGCTGCCGCATTGTTATCCTTTTATTCTGACACTGTTCAAGAAGACTGTTATCAGTAAACGGAAAATCACGCTTTGTTCTCCGGCTCTTGTCTTCGCAGACGTTTTGATTAAACACATGTGCGGCAGCGTTTTCCCTTGTACTTATTAAATAATTAAACTCCTAGAGACGGATTAGTAATCCCGCCAAGACTGCTCACTTTAACTTTAGTGTGAACGCCATTTTTTTACCAAAAAGCTTAGTGCACTTCCAGTGCTTTTGAAGCACACTTGAACCCAAGTGCACTTTAGGGACTAGTGTAAACCCACCTAATATTTCTTAACCCGAGATCGATTACTGCGTTTTTCCCCATGTTACGGAAACTGTGATTTTGTTTATTAAAGGATGACCAATAAAAACACATTCTTTTGAAATACCTTTTTTTTTGGCTGCGTATAATGCATAATGTATATTTTTATTTTAGATTCATAAAGTTCTCCTCATCCCAACAACCCGTCCATTAAAAGCGGTTTAGTACCGCCCAGGCTGTAACTTTAAAATGACCATTTTTGACTGCAGTAGTAGGAAAACAATCGCTTTACTAATAAATCAGCTTTAATTTTCCATTTCTCTTCTCAGAGTCCTTTCCAAGAATCATTTGAGGTTAATTCCACCAAACACCTTCCGGAAACTAACATCACTAACGGTTGTGTAAGAATCGAATCTTTTGACTGTGTATATTGAGTTGTAGTAGAAATAAATGGCGGCTTATAATAATGGACGTGAATCACGTGGATCATAATTTCATAATTAAAAACATTTGTATATATTTTTGAAATATTTGTTTTTCATTTCTTCTGGACGGTGGGAGCCGGAGTGGCTTCTTTCATAAAAGTAACCTATTTGCATATAAAAGCCAACACTAGCTGAAATCCTACAACAACCTTGTACTACATGCATATTCACATTTTTTTTGCGTACCTACCTATGAACTATAATGATAAAAACAAGTACTTTTAAAATATAACACATTTTGTAATTTTCCAGTTATCTTCAGAGAAACCTTTTGCAAGGAGGGTTTTACCTTCCAAAAACAGTCACCTGGCTGTAAGTACATAGTTAAAAAGCAAAAGATGTAAAGATGTAGTATCACTAAAATGAGTTAAGGTGACTCGTCCCAGTTTTTTTGGGGGGTACCCTCCTACTTTGAAGCTCTCTGGTATCCCCACCTTTACTTTTATCGTAAGTCTAACACATAGAATGGATAACATATAGATCAATCTACAATATAACATAAAATTTTGGGCGATCGGAGTAAATGTCACGTGGTTATAATACCACGCCTCTTCGAGGTCTGAGTCGAAAATCTGCTGTTGCCGGCATTTTTTCGTGAAAGTCTCTCGGCTACACATAGTGCGCATTATTGCCTTACGCTGAACAGAATTTCATCAAAATCGCAAAGACCCAATTCGAGAAATTCAGCGGTTCCAAATTTAGGTCATAATTTATGCGAAAATGATAAGCAAACTTTATACGATTATATCTAATAAACTATGAGACTTATCCCTTTATTTTGTGGATCGTTATAACAGATGGGTCCTTGCAAGTCAGCAAAACGCTTTAAGGCCTTGCAAATGCGCACGATTTGGAGCAAAGCAAACATATAGAAATTATAGTTTTAGCTATTTGTTGACGTTTGTCAGCGTTTAAGAGTCCTTCTCACGAAAAAAGCATTTTCTTAAAAATTCGTATTTTTCTTCCCTTCAAATTCTTTCAGGGCCACAATTGATTAACTAACTACCCGGACTCTGAATTTCATGGTCATTGAAAAACTGTGACATTATCTTCTATAAGCCCAAACTTGAGTAAATATTGAAGATTTTTAGCGTTTTGGTTGAGTTTGTGCTTTGGGAGTTGTCTATTGTTTCTAGCTGTCATGATACAGCATTCTTGTTCAGCACGTGTGCAATGATCGCGCTTGGCTGACTTCCGAATGCTCACCGAGATATGATAATTTTGGTACAGTGAGACAGGCCATCGCGTGATACATACAGGTGCTTCTTGTGCCTTTGCAAAAAAATCACGAAGTGCTACACACTAAATCTACTTACTATTAAAAAAATATCATTTTTTTAGGTTTAATGCAAGCCAATAATTAAACCAACTCGTGACGGGAATCCCTTCTATTTTCTCATACTAAATTATCATATCTCGGTGAGCATTCGGAAGTCAGCCAAGCGCGATCATTGCACGCGTGCCGAAAAAGAATGCTGTATAATGACGGACTAGAAACAATAGACAACTCCCAAAGCACAAACTCAACCAAAACGCTAACAATCTTCAATGTTTACTCAAGTTTGGGCTTATAGAAGATAATGTCACAGTTTTTCAATGACCATGAAATTCAGAGTCCGGGTAGTTAGTTAATCAATTGTGGCCCTGAAAGAATTTGAAGGGAAAAAAAATACGAATTTTTAAGAAAATGCCTTTTTCGTGAGAAGTACTCTTAAACGCTGACAAACGTCAACAAATAGCTAAAACTATAATTTCTATATGTTTGCTTTGCTCGAAATCGCGCGCATTTACAAGGCCTTAAAGCGTTTTGCTGACTTGCAAGGACCCATCTGTTATAACGATGCCCAAAATAAAGGGATGAATCTCAGAGTTTTTTAGATATAATCGTATAAAGTTTGCTTATCATTTTCGCATAAATTATGACCTAAATTTGGAACCGCTGAATTTCTCGAATTGGGTCTTTGCGATTTTGATGCAATTCTGTTCAGCGTAAGGCAATAATGCGCACTATGTGTAGCCGAGAGATTTTCACGAAAAAATGCCGGCAACAGCAGATTTTCGACTCAGACCTCGAAGGGGCGTGGTATTATAACCACGTGACATTTACTCCGATCGCCCAAAATTTTATGTTATATTGTAGATTGATCTATATGTTATCCATTCTGTGCGTTAGACTTACGATAAAAGTGAAGGTGGGTATACCAGAGAGCTTCAAAGTAGGAGGGTACCCCCTCAAAAAAAACTGGGTCGAGTCACCTTAAGATATAAGGAAAATACCTCCATACATACGTTTTATTGAGTGTCACTTTACAGGGCTTTTCAGACACAATTAAGTAATTAAATGCAATTAGATCTAGAATCTATGTATTCATTAAAAGTTCTATTAAAACAACAGAACAGATAAATAATAACTAATAACATTAAATATACAATTAATAGACATTAAAAATACAATTAGCCAATCTACAAACTAGAAAGCTTATGAAAGATTATGCCTCGTCGAACTATGGATTACAACTTGGCTACAATAAGTGAGCTAAGATATGGTGTAGATTCTAAGGTGTAACGCCTAAAAGAGGTAATTTCTGATTTTTAGATCATGTAAGAATATTTTGGCTCTGAAAAATAGGCTGCCTATTAAAATTTTACTGAAGCATCTCTATTACTCGAACCGTGAAACAGATACTAATAAATAGTACAAAATAGCAAGAGGCAAAAAAAAAGAAGACAATGGAATTAGTGCATAATAGTGCGCAGTATTCTACTACCTATTTCAAAGGTGAAGTAAAATCACTTTAACCTTTGGACCATTCCGTCTTATCTGGTGTCATGCATATTTATTTTTTTCTCCTCAACTGGACTAAACAAGTATATCTTACTTTTGCATTACATTAATAATCCTTAAGGTTCGGTCCTTTTTTTTTCCAGTGAGCTTCAAAGGAATCGTTTATCGTACGACGATTTGCAGGTCATCCTAAAGGAGTTAAAACAGCTGGTCTTTCTGTAAGTTTTGACTTAATTAAGTTATGCAACAATTATTGAAAAACAAAACAAATAGAAACTGCTTTTTAAAGTGATACAGAACAGCATATAGAATGAGAACAAGACGTATTGAATGCAAGAAGGACTCATCTGCTGACTTACCTCTGTCAGCACTTTGACATGATCGGAATTTTAGATACAATTTAAGAGAAGCCTTTTTTTTTCTTGAGGAATGCTTCAAATTTCTTAAAATATTCCTGATTAGAAATTTATATTTTGACGAAGTGGGGAACTACTCCAAACACTCTGCTTCGGAGAGCAGAGCGGTTGAAGTAATGCGGAATAATGATGCCTTTTTTCTCTCTCTCTCTTCGTGGCCAGTGTTCCGCACAACAAGAACAAAAATTTCGGACGTGCTCGGCGAAAACTGAACAGTATGAAACGAGGAAGACAAGACAATGAGCATAAAGTAGTTTTTTTGAAGTAGAGAAAAAAAGTCTTTGGTAATTTTCTTTACGAAGAAAGCAAGAGGACTATTTCTGAATTTCTTAGTAGACATTTACCTTCTGATTAGAACACCTTCCCTGTGCTTTTTAACATTTTATTCTCCAAAAACAAGACAATTTCCAAATTTTGTTTTATGCTTTCCTTTATAAAAAAATAAATAAAAATGAACAAAACAAAATAAATAATAAACAATATTATTTAACTTAGTAAACTTAACTTTATTCTCCAAACAGTTAATTAGTCTTTTAGCTAAAATCTAATCCGGAATTCCAGACTGGGATAAGGTTAATTGATTTACATGTGAAACGCCAAATGCAAACGCGAATTGAAAGGCAAACGCAAGGGAAAATACGTGTGAGCAACATTAGCGGGAATGCAAATGCAAAATCTTTTTTATTCAACCTTTATTCAAACATTTCTAGTCTTGCCGTGCTGTTAGATCTGACTGCAGGTTGGCGGCATTATTATAAGACTCAATAGTGCTGTAAATCAAAGTATCATCAGTGAAAGGGCGCATCACTTGACGTACAATCTTCTCCTAGCTCGTTAATGTATAAGAGGAACAAGAGGGGACCGAGGACTGTCTCCTAGGATACCCCTGATAGATCTGGCGCTTGCGGGGATTTGCACCAATCAACGACAACTGACTGGCTTCGACATGTAAGCCATTGTGTTAGCCAGTTGTTAAGAACACTTGCCATAGTAGGGCATATTTATTGATTTAGGAGGCGCTGGTGCGCAACCGAATCGAAAGCTTTCAAAAAAGTCCATGAAGTCAGTTTGCTCACCTTTGTCAAGGGAAGCAGCTATTTCTTCTACTGTAGAATTTAGATGAGTTTCACATGAAAATTTTTCTTCGAAAGCCGAACCCCGCACCGCCTATAGAAGAGGCAGACCCGTGCAACAGACCACTTGGAAATTACATTCTAAATTTCAGAGCATTGAGATTTACATCTTTGCGAAAGTTAAAAGGAATTTATTATACATTTTTCACCAGTAGCCAATATATGGCTGTATACTGACCAGGTTCTTTTTGGGCTTTTTGTTTTGTTTGCTTATTTTCTTTTTTCTTTTTTTAATTTTTTTTGTAAAAGAGCCAAAAAATAACGAGACCATTTAAGGATCTATTTATCTTACAGGACTTGATAAATCGTGGCTAAAGAATTTTCAAGTGCATTTTAACAATTTGATATCTAAGAGGAATGGGAAGCAGTTAAAAGTCAGTAGCTGAGGCTAAACAATGACAGCATTATTGCTGGCAATAGACGGTAAAGTTCTCTCGCAGAAGTAACAGGATTTTGCGATGAAGTAAACAACATTTGAAACGTCCAGAAATTGTAATCTTTTAGTCAGTCAAACGGTGACGCCCATATCTCAGTGTCGACCGAAAACAGATTAAGAATCCACAATAACACTCACGAAGCGTTTTGAAGCTTGACACAAAGTATTCTAGTAACACGAGCTCAACCGCACGTACCTAAGATTTGTCTGTCAACACTTTCGGTAAATCACACAATAAATGACTTTCGCGGCAATCACAACACTTCCAAAAACACTCATAATATTTCCACACTTAACACGGGCGAAACATCGTCAAATTACTCCGTAAAAGTCTCGCTTTCTCGACATAAATCATCACATGGAACTTTTCTCGACTCACTGACAGTCGATTATTCAAGATCCCGGATGTAAAACAGCGGTTGAAAAGGAGACATACAGCCCCCGCCTTCAAGACAATTTTTTACTAAGTCTTTGGCCTGGTCAGAAATCAGCATGAATTTGAATTTCTCGCCGAATAGATTTCAATCCTAGAACCTACTTTGTGGGGCCAGAGACTTGTTACTGCCAACAACAAAGCTCGCGATATCCAATCTTTCCGTCTCAAGCCCAGGATCAGTCTTTCGCTCCATGTAAGGGAATCCGGATTCCGGAATCCAGGAATTTTTTGCTCGTGGAATCCGGAATCCTGGGCTTTGGAATCCGGAATCCAGCACTAGGAATCCGGAATCCAACTTACTAAAGATCCACTCCAGATTGGATTAAGCGACTCGCTGGAAAGAAAAACCTCCCCAGGGTATATGCCTCAACGTGATGACATACAGTGTAATATCGGCATATCTGGTGTCAAAACCATAGTTCACGAGTTCCATATGAAAGGACAGGGTCACGGTCAGCGAGGGAACCCTTGCTTATGAGCGGCAGGCAGGATCACAAAATTCGGGGGTTTTCGAGCAGAATACAGGGCAGCCTTTTTAACCTATTCAACCTCTGGCTATGTTTGATTCTCTGTTGTTCACTCGCTTCGCTGAACTTTAAAAAATCAAAAGCGATTTGTCCTGGCATAGGACCGGAAAAGGTGCACCTGGGGTGAAACTTTTCTTGAACCTTCCTGGTCCTCCTGGTTCACAATTGAAAATAAACGTCCACTTTCAACATTTTACTAAAACAAAAAAAAATTCACAGTCTCCTAGTCCCTAATTTGGTCCTAGTGGTTTCGGTGAGAACAGTTTCATGGTTTCGATAATCTTTATTTGAGAAATAAGCTAGGTACTGTCAGAACCGTACCAATCAGCTGTCACTAAAGTAATCACGTGCAAGGACGCGGTGGGTGTCTTTTTCATTCATCCCCGGCATTCGAGTGAAATCTCGCCACCTCATCGATGAGACGAGTTTGAAGTTTGTTGTCTGTTAGATTTTTCTTTTCTACATTATTAAAAAAAAAACGTTATGGGAAAGCACAAGCAAAAACAAAAGGCTGAGAGAGAAAGGTACGTGTAATACTGTGTTGTGAAATTTTATACCAATTTTTAGCTGACTGATAGATCTAAACGTGCCAAAGGCAAAGCTGCATGATTTTTCGTTTGTGTCGATCTGTGGACTGTAACGTGGCGGTAAGCAAGTCACAAACATGAACGAAAGATTGATTTTTTTCTCAATCATAATTGAATGTGATATGAAGTTTACGTCGTCCGTGGAGAAAATATCGTATAAATGAGCGCTATATGGTTGTAAAACACTAAAAACGAGCCCACGCGTCAGAAACGCTCAAGTCTCTCTTGATCTCTCAGTCATCTCAGACTCGGTCGAGGAACAGACGGATTTTTCATGTTTTCTTTCTCCAGTTGTGCTCCTGAATAGGCCTCGTTCACATTGAGGTCGCATTCGGAAATTAGACCGATCTGAGATCAGTTTAGCCCGTAACTTTTTTTTTGTTTGAAATGTCTTAGAGACCCCAGACCATCTCAGAGACCCAGATCTCTTATTGACGAAGCCGAAGGTCAAATCCGATTATTGCCTGTCGGGAATGTGACAGGCTATGAAAGAGCGCATGCTCGAAATAAATCCTCAATTTTCGACGTGTTAAACAACGAATTTGATAGAGCCGTGAAGTTTTTTCTAACAAAACGTGGTTATACGCACATCTTAAGCATGAACCAACTAATTTTTTGTTGTTTTTGTTCTTTTTAACATCAAATTCAACGCGACAGTTAGATTGAATTTCATTACCATTGCGCGTGCTAAAACCTCAAAGTAGTACGCGTCAACTTCTACGCGAGAATTTTTTACCCTCTTCAAAAGTCTTTATTGACACGGAGAGAGAGTTTGAAAAAGTCTTAGAAGATAAGATAAAATGGTTTTCCAAGTTTTATTGAGACGGAAAACTACTCTTTAGTGAAGAGAACCAAAGACTTTGCAAAGAATAAATTGCACACGCCACAGCGTATTTTTATTTGGCCAGTTACTAATAAAACGAGAAACCAGGCAAAAAGAGCCAAAACGACCTAAATGATCCACAACGATCAAAACTTATAGACAAAAGATCCACAACGACCCAAAACAAGTTCCACCCTCCTAGGAACGTCAGTTAAAATTGATTAAATAATAAATATTTCACTGCTCTTTCATATCCGGAACGAAGGTTGATCTGTATGGTCTTTTTATACAAAAAGACTTCAAAACAAAAGAATAACAGGCGAAATCTGGGCGTTACATGCATTTTTCTATCAGCATGGCTGAAAATAGAGTTCACAAAAGTAGATTAAGTGAAAAATAGAGTTCCGAGGTCAGTCTCACTCTCTACTAATCACTAACCAGCTCCGAGATCCTCCATCCCCAATTGCATGGAGATTTGGATTAGATTAATCGTAGGACAAAACTTTAAATTGCGATGTCGGTGTTTCGCTACGTTTTTTTGCTCGATTTTGCGGTGATGCTGTGTTTATTTTTTTCTGCGGTGTTGCGGTGTAGACAGTCCCCCAATTTCCCCCTCATTATTACACCATAAACCCTTACGGAACTGTAATACATTTATTCCCGTAATTTTGTAAATCGAAAAAGAAAACAAACTTGCTATGCCTTCTAATAACGTCTTTCAATATAGCAAGATTCGAACACGAAAACGAAGTGCGAAGAAAAGTATTAAAACCGGGGGAAAAAAATGGAATCCAGCTCTTTTTGGAATCCGGAATCCACTGGACTTGAATCCGGAATCCAGTACCCGGAATCCGGAATCCACAGCATAGAATCCAGAATCCAAGACTGTCCTGGATTCCCTTACATGGGGCGAAGTCTTTCACCCGTGTAGCCCGAAATGCGAAGAAATGCGAGAAGATATTGGACGCAGCAGACTTTACCAGATGTGAGAATTGTTCCTTCATAAGGCATTAGGTCCGTATCATCTTGCCCGCTCTAGGGACCAGTAATGCAACAATTGCCCATGAAATTTTAAATTTTGAAAGGTTTACATTAAACTGACGTTAATTTGCTCTCTCCAGGAATCTTGGCTTTAACAACATCGGACCAGTTCTGACCTCAGATATATTTGCTGGCTTTTACAAAGTGAACAGTCTGTGAGTTGCAAAATTGCTACATTTCAACTTTACAAAAAAGTACGCATTTGAATGTATGTACGGGATATAACGCAATAGGCTCTGCATGACTTGATCACGTGATCGACTTTCGGTAAACAAGAAAACAATTCACTTTTGAAAGATTTTGTCAGCAGAAGCTGAAAAGCATATTAAAATTAGGTAACCTGAGAATTTTCAGCCGTATATCTCAAAAGCAGCGATTGCAACGGCCGCCGAAAGTTGGAAGCATTTGTTTGAGAAAAACAACTTTTGCCATCCAGTCACACTTGCATGGTTTTTCATACAAATCCTTGTAATTTCGAAATTTTCAAAACTGTCATGAAATATTTTGTTAAGCATTACAGGGCTCAAAACTCCTTTTAATTCATAACAGGTAATTTGAGCTCTTAAATGCGTAAGGGAAAGATATAACAACAGTTTAGACATTTTAGAATTTACAAGGATTTGTACCATGCAAGCGTCACTGAATGGCAAAAGCTATTTATTACATAGCGCGCGTGCGTGCCCTATGTAAGTCCTAATGAGCCGCTATGAATAAAGTCTTTATTTACGCACGCCCGTGCGTAAATAAGATGACGTGAGCATTTTTTTTTTTACCTGGCTGCAAAGTTGTCGTCTTTTAAGCTGCAGTGCACTTTTCCTTCTCTTTAAAATATGGAAGAAACCAGCGAAGAACTGCCCAATTTTTCTATCGGCATTGACCTTTAGGTCCTGATCCAACAAGCAGCAAAAATAAAGCCGAATTAAAAAAAAAACTCGCAAGTAGCGCGTTTCGCAAATTTGTCGAAGACCAGCTGCGGGAAATTTTGGCCGAAAGACATTCACTGGGAACAGAACAGACACCAACTGGTCATCAACAACATTTAAAGGCAAAATTTCCGTTTTTATTGTTGTTTTTAAATTTGTTACGCACTTTGTTATCTCCGGACAATCCGACTGAAGCAGGAAAATGTCTCTCGCAATAACAACACAAATTACACAAGAAGACATAAATTTATTACTCACAAAAACAACTGCTGCCAGGCCTTCTCAAGAAGCCGTAATGACCAGCCAATGTTCGTAAATGAATATAAGTTTAAAGAAGGATGACAGTCGTCTTCGCTAAAAACATGTTTTCTGGATTTCGACGAGCAAAACGTAAACATCTTTTCAGCAAATCCAAACCATACTCCACGACTCCTTACGAACATGTTAGTATTTTAACTTTGGGTGAACTTTAAGACTCTTTTACCTTTGTTTCTGCTTAGTTTCCATTGATCGTTAACGAACAAAGAAGCAAATTTTCTTTCTCATTTTTACAGAAAGAATATTTTCATTCAAACTAGACGATTGTGGCGTGTTCGTAATCAGCCAATAGAACCGTTTGTTATTGTGTCGCGCGTTACAAGAAGCTAGAGTTACACTCGGCTATTGCCTCGTGCAACTCTTACGCATCTTTCGTGCTCTCCAAACTTCCCGCGTGCATATACGCACGCTAAGCATGAACAATTTCTTAATTTTCTCATACAAATGCTTCTCACTTTCGGCGGCCGTTGCAATCGCTACTTTTGAGATATACGGCTGAAAATGCTCAGGTTACCAAATTTTAATATGCTCTTTCAGCTTTTTTTTTTTTTTTTTTTTTTTTTAATTTATTTATTTAATTTAACAAACAACAAATTAAATACAAGTAAAAAGTGACAAAAGACAGAGAAAAAAAAATCACACATCAATTGAGAGGAGAGCAGCAGGCTAAAAGCAAATAGCGAAGTTGATACATGTGGTCCTTTTTTTCTTTTTCTCTCCCTACTCTTTCCCTACTCTTTCGTGTTTTTTTTGTTTTTGTTTTTGTTTTTTTTTTTCCTTGGGTAAAAGGGCACAGTCAAAACCAAACAAAGCACAAAAGAGATGTAGAAAAGAAATTTATATTTAATTAAGTTTTGGAGACTCAGGTCAAAAGGCTTATATAAGGCAACAAGGGTTCCCATTTATTTTTGACAGTGGAGGCATTGTTTTCTATTTGATAAATGTGTTTCAAATAAAGCAAAAAGTTGCTTAAGTTGGGGGGATGTTCTTTTGAGCGACAAAGCCAGATATGGTGCTTGGCAATTAAGCAACAAAAATTGATTTGGAGTTTGTGTTTAGATCTATCTGGCCTCAGACCCAAAGCCGTATTTATGTGTAAGTAATTATGTTCACCTAAAGAAAGTTGGCAAGACTGCATCCACTTAAAAAGACTATCCCAAAAATTTTTTGTTTTTTCGCATCTCCAAAATAAGTGTATCAAGTTTTCCGTTTCCTTATTACAAAAAGAACACTTATCATCATCTCTAAGTCCAACTTTTTTTAAGAAACAGTTAGTTGGTAACCGGCGATGTAACAATTTGAAGTTGAAAGTGATAAGTTTACTGCTCTTTGTGCATTGAAAGGTTGTTTGATAAGCGACTTTCCAGTTAATAATTTTCTTTAGGGGAAGATTGATGTCTTTGTACCACTTTTCTTGACATGAAATTGGCCTTTCACAGTTTTTGGACACAATTTCTTGGTAGATAAATTTAGATGGCTTTTGACTCATAAGAAATTTTGAAAAGCGATTTTCATACTAAATTGAAATCGCCACTATTATAATCTCGTCGCACTTGAAATCAGCCAAATGACTAAAAACCGAGGTGAAGAAATTTGAATCATCGTTGTTAGGAGCGTAAATGTTTGTCAGCGTTAATTGTTTTCCATTTACTGTCAGATCACAAATTATAAACCGTCCCTCGGGATCGGAATATGTTTTAGAGATTTGAAAGGTGAAGTTATTATTAAAAAGTATGGCAACACCCGCCTTTTTACTAGAGCAGCAGCTGAACAAAGCTTGATAGCCCCATTCGGCCCGCCAATCATTCTTATTGTCTTCTGTACAGTGCATTTCTTGAATAAAATATACTGAATATTTTTTTGCTCTAAGCCAGTTAAAGATTTCTCGCCGCTTGACCTGGTCTCCCAAACCTCTAACATTAATTGATCCTATTTTAAGATCCATTTTTAGACGTTTGTGTCAGATAGCATCGACTGTCTTTACCCAAGGAGTATTCTCGCAATAAGAAACTAATATGAGAGATAAAAAAAGATAAACAAGAGGTTAAATAAAATAACAATAAGGTTACGTAAAAACACAGCAAACGAAACATTGTCAGGCAAAATGTAAACAGAGACACGCACATTTAAATCAATAAAAGGTTAAATTTGACTGGGGACGAAAGACGCGTTTTCTTAGGCTCTCTCCTAAGTTTGAAAGAGAAGAAAAAATTGAAAAGCTAATAAAGAAAGCAACCGTCCGCAATAGCATAAGTTATACAGTGTTTTTCATCAATCTTTCAGCTTGTGCGAACAAATTTTTCAAAAGTGAACTGTTTCCGTGTTTACCGAAAGTTGATCACGTGATCAAGTCACGCAAAGAGCCTATTGAGCAGTACTTTTGAATCGTCACTCAATTTGGTGCATTTGAAAGACTTCTTACTCGTTTCTGGCTTTTAACCGTGTGTATGGTATAAAGACGAAACGCACTTAAAAGCCAGGTATAAATGACTGTGTTGTTTTTTGTTTTTTTCTCCCTCTAGAAGTTTAAGTCATTGTCGCCTTGAGAGAATCGAGAGTGGAACTTTCAGAGCAATGCAAAATTTGACATCCCTGTGAGCACATTTTTCATGGCTTATTCGTCACAGATATACCAAACTTGTGGTATAAGAGAGGCTAGGAGTCACGTTTACGGCAAATGGCATGCGTGAATTTGTAACACGTGACCAAATTTTCTCATGTACTTGTTGTAAATACAGGGAAATCAGTCGATTCACGCCAGCTTTGTCCATACGAATTGTTCTGAGCTGCTTTTATCTGCTAAGTTTCCATTTTGGGAATTTCTCAATCTGAATCTGCTGCGTTTTACCGTTTGCCGTAAAAGTGACTCTAAATCTCTCCATTTTTACTTAAAAAGACATCGGCCGAACGTTTTCCACTCATGGTGTCGTGGAGGTAAATCATTTCGGGTTCGGCCCAGTATTATATGCTTCAGGCCCGTAGCCAGGTTTTTTTACGGGGAGGTGCAATTTAAGGAGGAGGCGGACCAAACGAGAACGGAGGAGCAAGTCTCCAGGGGGAACTAGGTTGTCTGACACTGTATTGCGAACGTTTTGAAAAACATGATATTTCTCAAATTTTGAATGTCGAAAATTGATTTTTTTGGCCAGGAGATAACTTTATCATTATCTGTTAGACGGTGGATGTACACAAGCCAGTGAAGAGAGCCTCTATTGTGCCGCGAGTATCACTTTTCTGCTAACAAAAACAGCAGATATTTTAAACTATGCTCAAAGACAAAGGGCTATTCAAAAAAAGAAGAATTCAAAGATAAGACCCTTTAGTCTGGTTTGTTCCGCCTCAAGGGTTGTTCTGATACCTGGCAACTAAATTTCAATGTGAACAAATTTGAAGTTATGCTTGGTAACACACGCTCAAGACAAATCTGTCCCGAGTTATAATAATAATTTGAATTATGCTCTTTTCCCGCATTGAGAACATCTAAATTCAGTGGTTTCTGTAAAAGGGGCAAAAAAAGGGTTATTTACAGTTTTCAAGAATGACTTTTTCGGTTTCCGTGTAGAATTAAATCTTTAACCGATCAAAGCTAAGCGTAAAGCTCACAAAAAAATCATTGATACTCTTTCAGGCTTGGTCCATGCAAAGCCGTTTGAGGAATTCATGAACTATCGATCGCGCGGCTACCGACTAGGCCGTATGACCGTACGTTCTGGCTCTCTCTGCTCGTAAGGTGTCTTTTCATCGGTGGGAGAAAACGGCATTAACACAGCATTGTTTGTTATTATTTCCATGGTTTTAGATTAGGGTAGCAAACCATTTTGCTTTTAGGGTTAGAAGAGCTGCTACATGACCTCTCTCGCCGGAAGGAAGAAAAATAACATGGCCGCCAAATAGATCCTTTTGGGTTTTAAAGTTCTCCTTTATTAACAAACGTTGAACTTTTATTTCGGCAAACAAACAGTTTAGTTGAAAAAGGATTTTACAAAAGTCTCAAAAGTAGATCTCCTTTTTGATTTTAACTTGCAAAATCGGCTTTGAAAATGGAATAATAATTACTCAGAGGCAATACAGTGTAAAGATCTGTGGAGGAAAACAACAAAAAGTTGCCAACTTATGACGAAAAATGTACTTTAAAAACGAACTAAAATATTCAAAACGCTCTGATCATTGTTCCTGAAAAGCCCCTATGGGGAGGTAACAATAAAGTATGTATGTATGTATGATCACGTGACTGATGAAGTCATGCCCCTCTTTTGGTCATTACAAACACTATCAGGTAGAACATTACTTTGCTACAATTTTTCACTGCCGTGTGATAAAAAGTCGACCCTCCACAGCCCTCAGCCTAGTTTCCCGACTTTTTCGCTCATGTTCATTGTCCCCTTCAATTTTAAATGCCGGACGTCAACTGGTTATTTTGAAATGCCCCAAACAACCAAAACTTCAAAAATGCTAATTATTTTTAATTCGATAATGACATCTTTTCACAGCAATGAAAAAAGCTAATTCGGCAATAGTCACGTGACTGATGACGTCATTACCCTAGATGTGACAAGGGAAGATATTTTATGGAAAATGTTACTATGTTGTGGTCTGTCATTCTTCTACGTATAAAATTGTAGAGCTTTTTAGAAAAATTGCCTTAAAGGATTCTGGGATATTTTTTATGATAATCATAATTTACTTTTATAATCATTATTATTATCATCATCATTATTCATTCAAAAGGTTTCTAGTGGGTTCTGAACGAGAATACCTCCACTTACACTTTCTTAAAATCCTTGGCCTATTCTCGGCAAAGTTTTCCTTGTTAGATACTCCTCCAAAAGTAGATAAAATCCATCGAGCGATATCTTTAGCGTATTTTTGTATTTCTTCCGATTAGATTTAATAAAAAATCAGCTATTTCGTCTTCGGATAGCACTCGTGAATAAACAGCTTGTTGGCGGCTTGGCGATGGTCTGTTGCCTTAGCACTTAGCAGCCTCGATCGTTTCCAATCAAGCATACCATCGATCAATCTCGTTTCTATTCAAATATACCATAGAATCGATGGTATATTGCTGCATCTTCCAAATATGGTAAGCGCCAGTTGGTTATGAAGAATTAGCTGCGGGATTGGAACGAAACAGAAAAAGGCGAAATATTTTGAATGAATAATAATTACGCTATAAATCCTTGAAGCAATGTAGAGTTGATGAAGGTTAACAGTAAGTAAATTCAACTATTAAAAGCATTTTGACATCCCAAAGTTTACTTTGTACAACCATTTATAACGCTCAATGTCTTTTCCTATTTGCAGTGACCTGTCACATAACGACTTGTCTGAAATACAACCGGGAATGTTGGAAGGAATTGGCGATAAACTAAGCAATTTGTAAGTTAAACAACTCAACACTCGGGTGGTGAGAGCAAAATCATTCCCCCGCTGATATGTTATTGGACACTAATTTTTTTAGGGTTTGAAGATCATTTGAGCGCTGTTAAATGAGCGCAAAATGTTATCAGTAACTAGTCCGTTTTCGTCACGAACCATAATTAACAAAGAAAGACGCCTTGACTGGGCTCTGGTCGTTGTAAAGCACGCAGGAAGCGGCGAGAGCATGAATGAAGTGTAGAGAGAAACACGAGACGAACGTATGGATTGTAGAACCTAGAATATTGAAGCCACCTATAAGGAATCACTTGGGTTCTTGAAATATTTTTATCGCTTTCAAGTTTTACCATCACAGAAAACGAACTACGTCGAAATTCGGCGAAATGCCGCGAAATTTTGGTGCATCAATTGTTCTAATGTCGGTGAAATTTCGCAAGCTAGGTAATAAATTGTAGCGACTGATTTTTCGAGGGATGAGACTAAATTTCGACGCGAAATTCGTATCATCAAAACGAAATTTCGGTTTGTTCGTTCGAACTTTTTTTCGGTCAAAATGGAAACCAGCCTTAAGAAACTTAACAAAGAAATGAATTCTATCTTAGCTTTCATCGTCGCAAACATCGATTGCTGTGATCGCTATTCAACAAACAGATTCCATGTTGCCGAGCGTCTGTTCAGTAATAGATCACAGTTGACGTCAAAATGTGGTAAAAACTGAGACGTGGCACACTCGCCTGAGGCTTGTGATCGTTTTTACTACATTTTCACGTCTTCTGTGATCTATTGTTGAACAGACCCAAAGCAAAATGGAATGAATTTGTTTTATACAATGATCAGGGAAGAAAAAATACCGATACACATACCAGCCAAGTACCCCTTGGCTGTTTGAGGATTTGAGCTAGTTTAGGCATTTTTTAAGTCACAAACGCTATTTTTTGTCTCTGTTTCTTCTTTCTTTTCTTTATCTTACTTAAAGGCAGTCTTCATTTGCTTAAAGCAGAATAATGGCGAAAACATCTGTAGAAACAGCGAGTCTTTCGTAGCGGTGACACAACTGTTATGAAGTTTGCAGTTTAGGCATTCTCAAGTTGTCAAGAACTCAAACATTTAATTTTGAGGCATAGTCATTAAAGATTTTTGCATCAAGAAGAACTGTCATTAAGGGCAATTTCTATAGCGTAATTTATCGAAAACAAACTTCTTTAGTGCAAAAAATTCTCATTTTCCTGGGGTGAATATTCAGTCTATAGGAATGGAATATTATTAACAAATTATTATTTTTATGAGTATTGTCTTGCCCATATCGCGTTGAATTTGGAAGCACGCTTTAACTCGGGAGCGAATCTCACAATATACCTTATACTCGTATTGAAAAGTGGCGTTGCAATCATTTCGTTGCGCTTGTACAGTGTAAATACTGTAATACATAGATTTAGCCAGGGCTGAAAGCGAAGCTCCCATTAATAAATTTATAATTTAAATCAAACAATAAACTTGTAATCCACAAATCAGTTAACTTTAAGGGAAAGCTAAGGCTAAGTGATTTTAGAGTGAAAAAAAAAATCTTACATCGAATTGATAGCCGTATATATACACCCAAAAAATAGCAATTATCTTCGATCACATTTTAGAGCCATAATGGCTCTTGATCACAGTAGATTAGGCCTGGAAAACGAATTTTTGGAAAACAAATCAGGCCGAATTTTTTGAGTTCGACAAGTTTACTTAACAAAATCTTGCCAACAACTCTGGGAGCGTGTAAACCAACATTTCATACTTTTTATACATCACATCTGAAACAGTAATATGAGGCGTTGTTTTTATCATATAGACCTCAGACAAAATGCAGTATTTCACAATTTTTCAAGACAAATTGCACTCATTCAATATTCAGAACCGTACGAAGCACGCGTGGGCTTTTAGCAAAACCGTTCAAAAACTTTCCAAAATCACCTATACGGCCAGCCGGTTCTCACTTTTGACAAGCGCCAAATTTTCAGTGAACATTAAAAGAGTTACGCTTCAACATAATAAAGAATTTATTGTGTTTATTTTTTTTATTAAATGGTTTTATAACGATGTGTAATCTTAAAAAGCGTTTGATACGAGCAGCATTTTGAGTACTCCTGCGAGCGTTGTTTATGAACGACTGAAAACAAACGGCATAGCGATTAAAATTGTAAGAGACTACTAACAATCAATAAAAGAAATGTAATTCGGTGAAACATTTAAAGAGACAACAATTTTCATTCACGAAGACAAGTATTAAAGCGTCTCTAAAAATCCTGAGTCTTTAAGCTTAAGCTTAAAGCTTTTAGCCGGCTTCCTGGTGTTTACTGTTTTCAAAGATAAACTCGAGGTAAGAAAATTGCTCAAAGCTTTCTTTCTACAGCCAAAATTATAACTAAATACTCTTCGGAACGTTTTTTCGTTCTATATGCGGAGAGAAAATATCGACTAAAGGCTTTTTAAAGTTCTGTAAGCTTATATAAACTAGATCAGATCATTGTCTCAGATCTTAATACAAACGTGCATAAATTAGCCTCATAAACTGCGCTCGACTTCATGAAATTAGATATTAAAAAACAAACATACACTGTATACAATAATTACTTAGGCTTACCATTCGAGATGCAGCTCTTGAAAGCTATAAAGTAAGGCCAGAATCGCTTGAGGGACTTTTCAAGCCGCATCCAGCAAGGTAAAAACGAAAGCGATGCATCCGAAATCGGATTTCCAACTTTGGCAACCGGCGCATTTCCCGACCAAAAATTTAATAAACAAACCAGCCATGAATCAAAGAAGACTGTTGATAGCAGCTGTATTTCATTTTCAGCATCCAGTGGAAAAAGACAGTAAAAAACATCACAAGTTGACAAAATACTCTGTCAGCTTCAGCTGTCAAACTGAAAGTAGACAAGGTTCAAGATGCTGTATAAATCAGTTTCTGCATGAACTCACCTGTCAAATTTTGACCAATCAGAGCATAAAAATTGGACGGTCGTAGAACGTGATCAACGCGTGACTATGGTGAGAAAAGTGAAAAGCCTCTGTCTTCCCTGCTTGTATTTTTAAATGACTGGCTGAATTTTCGAGTCCGAGATCAGTTTGAAATCAAAATGTAAATAGCGCGGGGCCATAGTGACATTAACACAACACTTTCTGTCATCATGTCATTATTTTGCAGCCGTTCTCTTTGCCTTTGTATTTCTCTTTCGCGTTGCCTTTGTCTGTTCATTCTAGCTCTGTCTCGTTCTGCTTGCGGGCGTTTTTCACTATAATTTTCTCTCCTTCTTCTCACTCTGACTCTTTCTAGTTGCTTTCTTTTTTTCAAAACCAGGTGCGCGATATAATTGGGCGACGTTGCGCAATGCGATTTCCCGCCAAAAAATCTCTACTTTCCCCTACCCCAAGAGTCCATGCGGACTACTTTCCACTACCCGGAAAGTCCGTACGGACGGACGTACGCTACGTCATAACCAAATTTTCTGGGATGAATAGTTTACCAAATTTTCTTACCCATGGTGCTCCGCTTCGCGCGCGCGGGAGCTCCGCTACTATAATTTGCTGCTGTGCTTGCATAGACAAACACACGATGAGTACAATGCTTACTCAGTATATGTAAAATCAGGGAGCAGGAGGATAAACAAAAATAGCCAGAAAAATATGCTGCGTGGTTTAGGTTTATGCATACCTATATACCGCGATGTTTGAACAATACGCTCATTTAATTAAATGTAAAGTCTCTTAATTTCGTTATTCCGCGGACTTACATGTATCCTTTAGCCTATGGGACGAGAGTAATCGAGAATAGGTTAAAATTTAGTCTTTGAAAGGCAAACGAAATTCCGGGCATTTCTAAACAATACGCTAGATTCGCCTTTACAAAGCCGCGCGCCGGAAAAGCAAGTCAATGACCGTAAACTAGAAAGTATAATCAACTGAAGTGGCATTGCTGTGAGATCTACAGTCTCAGTCAAAATTTTGGGACACTTTATTGTTTAGTTAACAACATTAGGGAACTTAAGAACCACGACGATGACCGGAAGTGAGAGACCGTGCACTGCGCAAGCGCGGCCAGCAAATTCCTCCTCGTAATGTCGTCGACGACGCCAAACAAAGTAGAACCACGTCGTCCTGCAATCCACAAGCTTCGGCAGGTATAAATCCCTGTTTATAAGCGATTTTTCAAGGGCTTTCTACTTTTTTATCCTCGTAAATCCAGGTATCCTTTCTTTTTTCTCCTAACAAGAGATGTTGATTGAAAATTCGACTGATGAATCGTGTTTACTTCGAAGAATGACAACACTGAGCTGTGGAGGCCGAGCGAGCGAACTCGTAAGTGATGAAATTAGTTGTACGTATTTAGGAAAAGCAAATCACATATCTTTAATATAGAGGAAATGAACTTTATATGGAAAACAGCTATCGCATCGGAATGTCTCTTTTTTCAAATCTAAACTCTGACAGACACTCGGACTCGGTCATCTCGTTCAGGTTAAAAGTTGAATAATCTTCGTACAGAAAGCAGAGATTTTTCCATTCAAAAAGGTCAGACAACAATAAAAATTCTTCATTGTCAATGAAAGTAAACGATCTTGCATCGTTTTAAAAGACGCCATTGCGAAAAAACTTTGTTGCGAACGAACATCACAGTTTTACATTTTTGTTTACATTCAGTGTCGTCGTCGGCCTACCGACCGATTGTATCTAAAGTTTCCTTTTTCCCGCCGAAACTGACGTTCCCGTTCCAGTCCTTTCCCAGTCAACAGACGTAGTCGTCGTAATCGAACTTCGTCGTGGTTCTTAAGTTCCCTATTGACACTTTGTTGTTTAGTTAACAACATTGGAAGGACAAGGAGACGAGCCAGAAGTAAAAGCAGTCTCCCAACTATTTGTCTTAGACTGTAGTTAAATCGTTATCACAGCGAGTTTTGTCAAATCCAACTCGGCGACGAACTACGATTAACTTCTCTTTTAAGTCATTCTAGCAATCACAGCGAACGAAACGACCCCTAAAAAGGTTGTCATTACATTGTGTTCGTCTTAACTTCAATTGCGAGCCCATACGATTTTTCGCTCTGGCGAAATTTCGGCAAAACAAAATTTCAATTCTGCAGAAGGGAAATTTCGCCAACAGAGCAGCGAAATTTATGTTATTCAACGAAAGTTCGCTGGCGATTTAACGAAATTCGTAGCGAACTTTCGTCAAATTTTTCAGAAAAGAAAGGACGAAATTCGGCAAACTTTGCTTTCACTTATTTTCCATAGTTTTGCACATGATAATAACCTAAGGACGATAGCCGATGGGACATTTAGACGATTTGGTGGATTTGGCACAATGTAAGTAGTTACAGACTGCCGCTGCAAAGAGCACAACTGTACTGAATGATACAAAGGCAGGATTCCATAAGCAAATACCCATGACTTGTTTGAGAATGACGCAGCGGCAGTTGTCCCTTTCGTAAACGGTCGCTGCCATTTTTAAGACACTTAGAAAATTTTTAAGAGTCTGTTTCTTTTAAAAAGAAAGAAAATCGTAACGCAGGGTCAAACCCGGACCTTTTGTATCCTTATCTCTCTCCCTTTAACTACACTTTTACTACCACAAAGACCCGCCAAAATTCCGAAAAATTTAACAAACTGTTTTTCTTAACTTATACATCAATAACAGGTGACCCTAGCCTTTTCCAAAACTTCTAACTTAATCCAGGAAATATATTACATCTATTATGAGTATAGGCTTGGTTACCAATGGTGGCATCAACCGTTTAAAATAGCAAAGACCGTTTAAGAAAGGGAAATAGGCGACGCAGCACCATATCACCTCCTTCAATTTTGTTAACGAGAAAGCACCCTTATTCTAAGCCTTAACAATAACAATATTGTCTTTATTCACTCGACGGAGTGTGTCAACAGGGTTAACTAATTAACGCCCTTACAGTAAGTTTTTTCTATAATGGTATTCATTGAAAAAAATCCTATTGAAAATAGTACTTCTAGTATACATCTACTGTAACCGGGACCACCTAGAAAAAATTGACCAATCTGCAGGGTACATTGAAATAACAATACATTCCAAGAAAGTTGTTGTTGTTATTGTTGTTTTTTTTAGCCAATCAACCGGTTGTAAGAAATCAATAAGCTACTTAAAGTACAAAATTGTAATATTGATAGAAAAATTCTTTTAACGAAAGCAAAATTTATCATTGCAATTCTCTCCGTGTTTGTAACTTTAAAGGTAACGCTGTCGGCAGTGGAACATTATTTGGCTGTCACAAAGCAGTGATTTTGTCATTTACAAGACTTTTCCTCGCGAACATAGCCGCGTTTTTTAATAACATGTAACCTCGAGTCAAAACTTTGAACAATTTTCGCTTCCGTCAATCACTCTAACATGAACGTTCTTCTGCTAGAGTAAAAGGTCACGTCTGTAAGAAGTAATTGGGCTGGTGGGTTTTGATATATTTTACTTCTCGAAACGTACATGTATAGTTATTTTTATCAATCAATTTTGTCTTGGTGGCGCCAGTCACAGTAGCCGCGCTCTAAGACGTTCAGTGTACTCTTAGGTAACTGATTAGTCTTTCCTCTTAGTCTAAGGGGGTACGCTTTGACTTAGGTCAAAATAAATTACAGAAGGCAAGAGATAGCACTGAACGTTATTCTGCGCGACTACTGTGGCTAGTTTTCCTAAAAATCATGGAAAATGTTCGTATCACATTAAGCGAAGATATTCTGGATAATGCCAAACCTGTATTCCTTCTTAAAATGTACACCCCTTCCAAAGCAGACACAAGAATCACAAAAAAACAATAATAAATAAATAAATAGATAATCTATATTTTACAACGGCCTTTTATGGGGAAATGGCACTCGCAAAGATTAGAGGGTTTAGAAACATTGTTTGTTTGTTTGTTTTTCTTTTTTTGGTTTTTTTTTTTCAGACGTTTGAATAATAACCAATTGAGATCGGTACCAGACCTCACTGGCCTCACTTCTGTTAAAACTATGTATGTATGTATGTATGTATGTATGTATGTATGTATGTATGTATGTATGTATGTATGACTATATGAAAAAAAGGAAATTAAAGTTAATATCGTTGCTATGATAGCAAAGTTTCGAAGAAGTGCGAAAGATCTTGAGGTTTAAACTGGTCAAAAGATACTTTTAGAATACACCTTCTTACAGTTCAGAACGTATAATGCAAAAAATATATTATTGCCATCTGTAATCCTACTTCTTGCAACATTCTTACTCACGTAATGTAGCAACTGAAGATGGATGATGTTGAAAACAATTTTTGGAGTTGCAAAATTCTAAAATCGTGGGGCTTCTTAATAACTTACATGATTAAGGATTTAGAATACAGGACAGGGCTGCGCGAGAATTTTGATGATTATCTATCAAACTACTTTGAAAACTCTCACAATGCCAAAGGGATGGTGAAAAGTCTAAACTGGGGTGCCACATACCGACCCAGAATTCATAGCTAGTATAATAGTGTACCTGCACGCTGTAAGACGTATACTCCTAAGAGTTCCTTCTTGCTTTTGTATTTTTTTTTCCAGAGACTTGCAAGAGAACCAAATAAAGGATATATCAGCATTCGTAGAGTCAGGAAATACAATCAACTTTATATATTTGTAAGACAAATGCTTCAAAAGACTGTTTTTACTCTGTTTAAAAAAACTCATTGCACGATAGCGCAGAGCAGGGTGGATAAATGTTGGGCGGTGAAACGAGCGCTCCGCTCTTCATTTGATGTGTGATGCGGAGTAGGACTGGCACGAGCGCTCTCTCCGCGCTTCCGGTCCGCTTGAAGGCCGGCGAAATTTTCCTTTCTGTAAACCGGAAATCCTATTTTCTTTCTGTAATTTCAGGCTACAATGTTAAACAGATAAATTCGTTTCATAACAATATCAACAAACAGTTTCATATGTTTGTGTCTGTATACCTATAAGTCAAACTTGTTGGTCGTATAATGCCAAAATTGCGATCAATTTGAAAGTGTTGAATACCTCCTCCTTCCACTAAATATCACCTAATCGTCTTTCGCCGTTTCGTTTGCAAAAGCTTAACACTTCTTAACCTCAATTTTTACATATGTTAAAGGAGGATAAATTTTGTATAACATAACAAAAAATTAGACTGATATATTTTGATATAGTGGGGTTGTACTGCTTCAAACTTTGCTTCTCCGGTGCAACGCCCCATGGCGATTCGCGCAATGCGTCGCAAATCCGGCAACCGCATGTAAACAAAATTTATTGAGGTTAGTTGTAAGGTTTTTTCCCCGTTTTTCTCTTTAAAACAAAACAAGATAAACAGTAAAAACTGAGGGTAAACTAATTTTGAAGTTTCGAAGAAACAGAAAGACGTATGAGATGTTTTTTTCAAAATTAAAAAGAAGGATGATGGTGATTGAAATTAGCATAACTTCACCTTGCACGAGCTGCGCGCATTTATAAAATACACGTCATCTAGTTATGAAACACGATCTGCTGTCTTTTAGTATTGCCATGGATGACATGGATGAGATTTTCCTTCGTGTTTTAGACAGTATTTGGTTGTTTTTGTTTTGGAATAACATCGACAGTGGCGAGTAGTAGAACGAAAATATAATTCAGTGGCAGAGTCATGGAAGTAATAAGAGAAACCCTTTGAAAGGGATGTTTGTCTACTCCAATTAAACCTCCCGCAAAAAATAGCAACATTTGCCTCTTGGAGACAGCGTACCAGCACGAAGGAACGAGGAAGGAGGGCAAGAAAACAAATCAAGCCGCCATAATTCAGTGACAGCGGCAGTATCTAATGGACAAACCACATCGCAAGCCCTGACCAGCGTCGAAAACAAGCGACACTTCTAAGGAGAATCCCAGTCCACTGCATCACACCTGTTTGCTCGGACGCGCTCGTTTCACCGCCCAACCTTTATCCGCCCTGGCGCAGAGTGTGGATTGTAGAACTTTCTTGCTATTTCTCTTTCGGTAAAAAAAATATCTCGACTCATTTATGTCACACCATGATCACAGTTTAGGATATGAAAAAACTCCAATTTTTTAGGTGCTACTAGTAAATTTACTTCTAAGTAACAACCTTATAAAATACACTGACAGTAACAAGAATTTTCGTCCCAAGGACTTTTGTCCAGCATTGTAGCTTGTAAACAAAGGTAAGTTTGCAGTTCGCTAACTCACCATAGATTAGGCCTCGTGCAAACGAACGTAAAATTGTCGGGCAATAATTCTCACATTGTGGGATATTACATGTTGCGTCTGTTTGCACACCCTGTTGCATGTTATTGCATGTTTTTGCGCTGCAGGTCCCAACATTGTTGGGAGTTGTTGCATCCGTTTGCACACCAATGCCAACGCGAACACAACAACTCCCAACATTGTTGGCTTAACATTTGTTGGAGTTGTTGCGTCTGTTTGCATGTAGCTTAAAAGAAACGTTACGTTTTAACACCAACTGCTAATAACACAAAGAGCAATCGCAGAGGGTTGAATTGTGGCAACAATTTATTAAAAGCCTAGAACTTAAGTTATACGTCAAAATGTCTGTAAAGCACATTAATAAATAATTAGAGGAATAAATAAAGTACAAAAAATTGATTACTTGAAGCACACACTTATTTAACTAGCTGAATTACAGATAGTAACTACGACAGGAAGAAGACATGATTACAGACGACGCCGTTTTTTTTTTTTTTTTAAGAAGAATTGCTGAGCGAGGATTTTCAGAAATTTACTACTGCACTACTTTTAGTAATTACTTTATAAAATGAGCCGGCTTAAGGCCTTCTGGAAATGTGCAGGTGTTAAACAAAATTTAAAATTCTGTCAACCAGAAACTGTATGTTTTGCGTTTTTACACCTGTTATGTAATCACTCGTCAGTAGTCACATCCGGGACATTAAACAATGTTGTTTACCATGTGGTTGCCTAGTTCAGTCGTGTAGACATAACAATACCCGATTGCAAAGATACTTTTCTATGTGACAAGTGTATATGAAATACTTTTCTATGCCCAACATTTTACTTATAGTTCATTTGTAACTTTCTCTTCCAGGACACTGGCTTATAATCAAATTGAACAACTGCCGATCAATTTGTTTCGGAAAATAAGGGTGACAGAAAGTGTGTAAGTACTACATGAGCAGCCCACAATAGTAATATATAAAGACGACTTGGAAAGGAACCACGAACTCGCAAGCCAGGGGCGTAGCCAGGATTTTTCAAGTCGTAAGCACAATTTTCAAAATCCCCCTGCCTCCTACCACCCCCCAAAACAACTTTTTCATGTTTTATACATCCAGCTTAAAAATTAAAGTCTGGTTTATTAATAAAATCGTCGCGCTTAGAAATAAGAGAGTTACGAAATTATTTTACAAAGATATAGATATTAATTTAAAACAATTTTTTTTTCAATTTAAACTAATTACATCCTGTTCAAAATGGACTGGGCCTTACAATTATGAAAAGATAACACAATAAATTAGATAAAAAAAAACTAGAAACTGGAAATATATATCAAGTTATACATTAAATTCCCATAAGTTCCTAAATTACATGCCTTGAGTATAAAGGCACATCGCCTTGCTGCTATCAATGCCCTTTTCTCATCTATTCGCTAAATGTGTCGGTCTACCGATGAGTCACGCGTCGTTTCATTGGAAATTGACATTTCGGTGTGAAAAGGAAAAAGGTCGTTGTTTTAGAAAAAATACACTACTTCAAAGAAGATAGCAGAGTTAATTGAAGACTGAGGATAATTTTGTTTTAATTTATTTTCTTCTTTTTATTTGATATAATTTTATTTTTTTTACCCTCGGCATTTTTTTAGGTACCTACCCTATGCCCCTGCAAGCAATTTACAATTTTACTCACAAATGCAGTTACGACAATTGAAAAACTCTTGTTATGTAGCCATCTGGAACATTTTCTCACTGGTGCAGAGATACGCAGTTTGATCATCGAAGTAGGTTTTTGTCTCAAAATAGTTGATCAAAAGACATTTCCAAGAACAACACCAATATATCGTTCCTTTATTTGTATCCCGATATTAAATGGTAACTAATTTGATGCTGTGTTGTAGCGATCTTTCTTTCAACAACCTTACCGTACCAGACAACCTATTTCTTGGAGGCCAGGAGTTTATCTTTTCGTAAGTAAAAAAAATTCAAAGTATGTCTTTTAAGTGCAAAATGAAAAGGAATGAATAAAAATAATGAAAAGTCCAGGAACGTCAAAGTTGTTGCGTGTACAGTCAAACCAGGTCAAGTGTCCTCCACCTCCACCCCATACATTCTAGTATGGACTGACTATTTCAAAGAATGTTTTCATCATTCACGCATCTGTAATGATCATTCTTCTTGAGCTCAATATAACTGTTTTCATAGAAACTTTGGGAGATTTTTTAATCGACCGAAGAGGTCTTAAATGCATGCAATATAACAGACTTCGATACTGGCTCTCTTGGGTTACGCTCCACTTGGTTTGACTGTAAAAAGTTTTATATTTATTCATAGTTACAAAGCACTCTCGTCTGCGTGGTTGAGAATGATACGTAACGGACTGACCGGCTGACCGACGGTCTACTTGAATCTGTTAACTTAAAACCTTTGCAAAAAACCACTTTCAAATTACTTGACTGAATAAAGTATATTTTAACATTAACCCTCTGGTGCACGAAAACGCAACATGTTTACTATTACTACATATTTTCAAATTTTAGATGAAAGCCTGAATCAGAGTGCTCCAGAAGTGACTTTGAAAGGCAACGATTTTTATATTTTTTTGGAAAAGCTATACCTAACTTGCTCCGTTCTTTCAGGGAGCTGATTTTAAGCTTCAACAATGTTTCCCGTATAAGTCGCCAAACGTTTTCTAACCTTTCAAGGCTATCGACTCTGTAAGTTTTTCTCATTATTGTTGTGAATTTGTTTATATTGAAAGCAGCAGCTGTAAGACCCAAAATAGCTTTTAACATATTTTAATGCACCTTCGCAGGTCCATGATAAATAATTATCTGAAGTTTATTCCCCGCGATGCTTTTGCCGATCTCAGGAGTCTAACTTCTTTGTAAGTAATAAGACTATAAAGTGTTGAAAAATTCTGGAGGTAAACTTTTTCCACATCCACCTTTCTCACTGGATGAAGAACTCGCTATTCGCTCACAGATATTAAATAAATCAAGCCGTTAGGAGAGGGGATTTATTCTCGCTACCAGTCAATCAGCAAATTTAATAAAAAAGAAAACCTTTGTTTAAATGGCGGGCTATTTTCTTGCTGGTTACGGTTTATCACTGTATTAACGCGCTATTACATATTTCTCTTTACACAGCATTAGACATTTTCTACTAAGATGTTCGAAAACTGAAAAGATCGCGCGAGTTAAGGCTGGCTTTTCTATTGTCCTTGATTCATGGAGGCACCCTGATCTGATCAACTCAAGTCAACTTTCCAGGCATGCCAGAAGGGTTCTATCTAGGGTATTTGAGAGGTAGAAGCTCCCCCCCCCCCCAAATGCCCAGCTTTCACCCCAAAAATATTGTTATCATTCCAGTATATAAGTAACTATATCGGAAAAATCATCCGGACGAGACGAGGTCCGTGCACGCTCTTTAACATTTCTCAAAATTGTGTTTTAAAATGCACCAGATTGCATCTCAGGGCACGTACATTTCAAAAACTTTCCGGGGAGCATGCCCCCGGAGCTCTCTTTTAACCTCGTGGCCTTCGGCCACTCGGGACTTCTCTCGCAAACGATAAATCCTAGATAGAAACACTGGCCAGTGATAACAACTGGAATGGCCTTTGTTGACCTTGTCGCCGAAGACTGCAATTCTCATATCCAAACAGTATCCCAGGTGGTAACGGTGGAATAGGCCGCAGGAATTTTGGCGGCATATCAGAGCCAGTCTCATGTTAACGAACCACCCATAAACGCAACAGTCTGAGTAAAAAAGCCAAAATATATTTTAGGATCATATTTTTCAGGTTTCTACACGGTAATTCCATCAAAAGCATTGATCTCAACGCATTCCGTGGTCTCAATAAACTCAGTTCACTGTAGGTATTTATACTTTAAACATTTCAGTTTCCTGCCCGCTGTTTAACAAAACTATTTATAAACAGTATTCCTATAGAGCGTTTGACATTACGTCACCTGCACCATATTGGTTTACCAAAGCAATCCTGTAGGAGTTGAACCTTTTTCTTTTGAAAAACTTTCTTTCTTTTTTCCAAAAATTTACATAGCTGCTGGTAACGTGAGTGCAAGGATCTATTTATATTCAGATTCGTAAGAGGTCTGTTTGTTGTATAACTTACAGGTTAAATTTGATTTCATGTTAAAACTTTTTAACCTAGGTTAATAGTCCAATTAAAAACTACCGCTGATTACAAACATTAAAGACACATTCATACAGGGTTAACCTCGACATAAAGTAAAATATTTAGAAATTCCGTTAGTAAGTGTTTGAAATTTGAATAAAAACAATAGATAGAGTAATAAACAGGTCTTTTTCTCGTTGGTTTTTGTGAATATATTACTTAAGATGGAGGCTAAGCCCGTGAAAAATGCGTCTTCAGTTCTTTAATTCAGCGGTCATAGGGAACTCGAAACTGGACTATTCTCAATTTCGTTTGTCTCTTAAGGCTAGGAGACAAAAGACGTTAAGAATCAATCTAGGTAATTAAAATGAAAATTGTCCAATATATTCCAAATCGTTACGTTGCCTTAATTATAAGACAAATACAATAACACACTAGCTGGAAGTAAATACGTCCACAATATCTATAGATTTTAAGGAAAAAAGAAAATAAAAACCGTGGTATTCTAGTTCTGTGGGAAATGCTTGATGAAGTTGCTGTAGGCTACATGGAGGTTTGCTGTATTACCTTCACCTTCATTCTCTTTTATTGAATCCAGACGATAACTAACTGAAGGGGTGTCCAAATCTTGAGACAAAAGCTGTTAACTTGGTATTTAGTCTTCAAAATATCCCTTAATTGTTATCTTACAGGACACTCTTTGATAATCCCTTAACTTATATACCAGATGGGATATTTACGGATATGACCTCCAAGACTAAAGTGTAAGTTCCTATATAGAATCCAGTTATTACTTATTCATTACGCTAATTAGTATTTTAAAATACTAAAAGTTTTTGTGGTGTTGTTTTAACCTGTTTCGTTTTGTTTTTTGCTTTGTTTTGTTTTTTTAAATTGGTATGACAGGAGGTGGGTTGTGATTATTTCTATGGCCTGTTTCAAACGTTGTGCTACTGCTGTGCCAAGCTGGCTCGACTGCAGCTCGACTGCAGCACGACACTTGCACGACTTGGTTTCAGACATCGAATTTAATTAGGTCGAATAGAACGGCAGTTGCTGAAAACAAAACACAAAAATAAAGAAGCGATTTAGCAAACTTTTAAATGTATTCTAATGTATTTATAATTTATGAATTGAGTTCGGCAAGGCAGCTTGCCGTGCTACACAGCAGTAGCAGGACTTGGTTTCCAACGTCGCGCTACTGCCGTGCTAACTTCGAATTTAATTCGATCAATTTAGTTCGGCACGGCAGTAGCACGACGTTTGAAACGGGCCTAAGGTGTTTTTATTTCATGGCGGCTTGAGGAGACTTGAATTTCGAAGTGTTTTTTTGTGGTAAGAACGCATGCCTTCCGACTTTTCCTGACGCTCACTCGTACCTAGCCACCTGTAATCGCTAACTCCACACTTCTAATTTGTTCCGAGGTCCCTAAGATCAACACAGTGTGAATAAAAAATTTTTGTAGCCATGATACAGAAAATAAACATTTATAAAAAATATATATCACACGAGCCTCAGAATGGATAACTCTTGCAAAGAGAAAGAAAACTCCATGCAATTCCAATGACAATTGATGTAACTCAGTAGCAATTTTTACAGTGTCATTTCTCGTAGGTCTGTAACTTGTGGAAACCTTTATCAGCTTCCTGCCGGAAATTATACATCAGTCATGTAAGTGAACAAAAAAAGTATTGAAAAGACCACCCAAATTCTCGTCCAGGTTTTCGCGTCTTCCAAGAGTGACTTTTGTAACCCTCTTTTCAATAATTTGCCAAAGTATGACGTGAAAAATCTATGCAAAATCAGTCGCCCTCTCAATTACATGCTCCCACAAGTATGACTACTTCTGAGCGCATTACATTCAAGATTCTATTTCTAATCTTCAAGGCTCTACGCAATCGGTCTCCCTCCTTCATTCAAGATTTGGTAACTCGCTACTCACTGCTTTAAACTTTCTGGTCATCTTTTACAAAACATCCTATTCCTGTTAACAGTCAATCTGTACTAACCTGGTCATGAATTCGCCGAAATTAATACTGTTTCTTATTTCTTGTGTTTCAGTGAATGCGCTCCTTCGGCTGTTTTTCACCTGCTCCGCCTTGATGAGCAAACGTTCAACCTTGACAGTTTTGCACGTTCAGGTTTTGTGTGCCCCAAATGTACACCAGGTATTGTTATTGCATGGAGATGTTTTAACTGCAGTCTTTGTCCGGTTGGTTACCATGCTGGCAATACCTCCAAACAAGTAAACATGTTTGGTTCTTGTCAAGCGTGTCCTGCAGGTGATATATTTTACTAATTTTTATATCACATCGTTAGATCTATTTTAAAATAGCATTGATCTGTTCATGAAGGTAGCACGTTATATTGTACTTAGTATTTATACAATCACAGCCTGACTTTTCAAATTGGATTGAACTTCTCCACGATGGCTACCTTTCACAGAGGCACGTTTCTTTCGTCCGTGCTTACATTCCATACATACATGCACACCCTAGTTTAACCTCTACAACGGCAACGGCAACAGCCATTTAACTTCATGATAGCCTCTCTATGAAGACCATCTATACTATATAAAAAGAACTTCACGACGCGACTCATTTCGGATTACTTCTAGTCAACGCGCCTGAACGCACAAATAAGTATTATGGCGTTAATTTTCCTTTATCTTTAAAGACAACCGTTGACTACAATTTTTAGTGCTTTTATTTTTTACCATTACCTAACAGGAGGTTTTTACCAAGACCAAATGGGGCAGATCAATTGCAAGCAATGCAGCTTAGGGACTTTCGTCTCCAAAGAACGACGTCCCGGTATCCGTGCAACTGACTGCTGGGCATGTCCGTACGGTAGGAACCATCATACTCAATATTATTTTCTCACTTAGCGCCAGCGTCATCGTCATCACCTCACTATAAGCAAAAACACCTTATTTCTTACCATCTCTTTCACTTTTAGTTTATTATGAACAGCTGTCCGGGCAATAACTCAGCTTTTTTTTTATTCCTTAATGTACCATCGTCATCGTAATAACCTCCCTTTTCTTACTAAACTCACCTTAATTGACTCCATGTTAATTACCACTTTAGTCTCCACCTTTTGAGCGTTCAATAAATCAAATTGCTGACGAGAAAGTAATTTCTACTTGTAGACTAAAGGAAATTGCTTATTTTGTTGCTGTACACAAGTCAAGGACAAATTAATCAAACTCGGGAAATGCAATTAACCACTTTCACATTGCCCATAACACACACTGTCTACCCCTCAAAATTTTGCATAAACGCTGCAATATCTCTTGGGAAGACTACAATATCCAAGATAAATTGAAAGACAATGGTTGTGGAGAACTGGGAGATAAACAGGGTGTATTTTAGGCAATGTGATAATGACATATTCCTGGGTGTTTCAATAAAAGATACCATTAAAAAAAACTGTAAATCACACAACATCACATCCCGGGAAATAATTTCTCTCTTTGATTTGATAAGTTTTGGGTTGCGTGATACTTGAAATTAAATTTTTGAGCGTTATTGTGGACGTCATAGGCTTCATGAGACCCTTTCTCGGTAGAATCCCCTGACTGAAATTTTAAGTTTCATTCCTGAATCAGATCGAGATAGGGACAGCAGCATTAGATTTTCGCAAAAACATTTTTATTTAAAGTTTTAGTTTTTCCGAAATTATCCCTTGTCAATTGTTTTTCTTTGAACAGGGACGCTCTCGAACGAACATGCTGGTTATCGCGCATGTAAATGCCTCCGTGGATTTTATCGTTTGGATCGTTTTGGCCCATGCTCAGAATGTCCAGCTCATGGCATCAAATGTGATGACGATACAGCAATACTTGCACCTAATTATTTCTGGAAATGGGCCAATCAAAGTAGCAAAGAGTTCTACAAAGAGTTTGTTGACAACATCCATAGTTTTGGTTCTGGTTACAACGATTCATACACCAAATTTAGTGTTTTACTGCCCAAACCAGTAAAATGTCCTTTTGCTGGGTCCTGCAAGGGAGGAATAAATTCAGAGTGTGAAGAAGGATACCAAGGAAACTTGTGTGCTACCTGTTCACATGGCTACTACTTACGATTTAATTTCTGTTTGAAATGTCCTGGATTCTTGGTTTCCATAATTTCATCATTGGTGGTTATTGGAGTCTTTATTCTGATCTTTACAATGGTTCTGTGGGGAGACTCCAAAAAGACAGAAAATAATCGTACTGTTGCAGATATCATCATGTCCTGCTTCAAAATTGTCATCGGGTTTTACCAGGTTATTTCCGGTGTTTTCTCGGCACTGACCAGAGTTCATTGGCCAGTTACTCTGATCGCAATGGACAAGTTTCTGAAATTGTTTGATGGCAATATTTTTCAATTTGCACCATGGAGTTGCGTCTATTCTCAACTTCGACTTAACCCGTTCTTAAAATTCATCTTGGTTCTTTCTGTTACCTTTCTTGTCGTTTCTTTTGCCTTTGTTTACATGTTCCTTCAATTGCTGTACATCAAAAGCAATAAGGATCGTCCAGAGAGCGAAAAGCTACGTGCTCTTTCTAGGTTGAAGAGGTCCTGCTATCGGAACATTTTCCTGTTTCTGCTGGCATCATATCCCATGACAAGTAAAACAATTATCCAAATTCTTCCTCTTCAGGGCGCATGCGTCAAACATTGCTTTTCAGACGAAGGAAGCCAGTGTATCTCTCTCATGAAGGCTGATTACTCCATCCAATGCTTTACTCCCCAGCACAAGACGTATTGGCCATTTGCTGCCGTGTTTTCCGTATACCCTGTGGGATTTCCTCTGATGGTACTGCTGCTTATTTATAAATACCGACAATCAGAGCGGTATGAGGAACTTTCTTTTGGACTGAAAGTCTTTTTTGAGAACTACAAGGATAAATTTTGGTTCTGGGAAATAACAGAGATGTACCGAAAGTTGATACTTATCTCGCTAATTTTCCTTTTTGGTTCAGGGGGAGTATCCCAGATTGGTCTGACTCTGCTGGTCGTGAGTGTCTTTGGTGTGGCCTACACATTCTTCCGCCCGATCAAAGGCAAATTTGAAGATCTACTGCAAACCTTTGTTTTGTGGGTTATCTTCTTTGACGTTTGCCTCGGGGCAATGTACAGCACCTCTGATGTCACCAAAGATAATGACTCCTTGATCGTGAACATCCTGTTCGTCGTCCTCAACAGCTCTGTGCTGCTGGTTGCTTTGGGTAAGCCTCATGATTATTCAACTGCTAATTTCTTGACTGACTCAATGAGCAGAGCCCCTTCTGGCTCGTGAAAAATTAAAACCATAGATTCTCTTCAATGATTCGCAAAGCGGCATCCTAACAAAGGCAGGATAAATAGTAAGTTCGAGAAGAAAGAGAGGAGAAGAGAAAAAAAGCGATGGCCGCACTATACGTTTTTATATTGGCTTCTTTGCACAGAGATTTTGGCCAAAAAAGGTCCATTGACCGAGGAGGTCTATTTCCTGGAAACGTTTTCAAAAATCGAGCTACAAAAAATTATACATAAAAGCAGGGATTTTATGCCACCAGCACGAAAGAATTAAATGCCACTCTTTAGGAAGATTGCAATTAATCTTAGCTAATCTTAAATTTTTAATCCTGTTGGTTTAAATATCACATGATGTCTTAAACTTTTATTTTTAGGTAAAGGGATCGCGCACTTATCGTTTGTATACAAAAAGGTGTCATCGTGTGTCCTACATTGCATCAAAATGATTCATTGTAGATTGGCTTATATCAAGAGAAAGATTGTTAGCTGTTTCCAGACGGTCTTTGGCCAAAGACCAGAGCCATATGATGTACAAAGGCATCTTCTGATCCAAGAGTTCACTTGATGAATGACGGAGTACCTAACGGGGTAATACTCAGTGAACGCCATAACGAGAAAGACTCTAATCGTAATTGTATCCCGAACACTAAATAACGTTATTTTGAATTGTGGCAAATATAACGAAATTCGTTGTATGAACCATAATGTTATATTATTATTCGTAATCTTCGGATCTTGGTAGTGTCTGTTTCCTTGTTCAATGAAGTTTTTACCCATCTTCAGAGGCAGTTTTTAAGCCACTCTGAAAAATGCCATAATTTTCAAATTGCGTTTAGAAGGGGCTTCATGTAAACCTCACATTTGCATCATCGTACAGTAACAGTAACGCATTAAAAACACAATTAAAATCAAAATCGTGTCAAACACCAAAGTAGGGGAGGGCGTACCTTGAACCACCAATCATATCATAATAAGACTCATCATAGCACGTGTGAAACCTCGAGCACAATCGAACAATCAACGAAATTCCTGATGAACTACTTAAACTACCACAAACTACGTTACAAAAATGTCAGCACTTGTTGCCACAGCTCTATATATTTCGTAAATCTCGTGCAGGCTAAGGGCTATTGCTTTCGTTACAAAAAAATTGTGTCACTGAATAACCTACATTCTTGAATCATCCGCATTAAGAGAAATTTGAGAAAAGAAGATAACGCTCAATGCATTTGACTTATAGATTATCCTTGAATTTCGAACATGGCAATAGCGAGGTTCGAAACACTTCTGAAGAGAGCTCCAAGACAATGAATTGTTTCAGAAAACCAACCAGTTATTAACCATTTTCCTGCAATCAAACTGAACAATATTACGTGAGCCTTGTTGCTAAAAATTTAAAAACATGCATCTCGGATTACCTTTATTTTGCCATTCATCACAGACCACTTTTCTACGCAAAAAAACCGCTTCCCAGGTTTCAACTTTGCAATGCAGCGACAGAAGCGGGATACTTCGCAGAAAGTCGTGAATCAAAATCCTCTTTTTCCAAAACCGTTGATTGGACGACTTCCTTTTAAGTGTTCCTTTCCGAGAAGTCACATTTTAAGGTTGCGAACCTCATGCTACTACTTAGCGCATTAAGTTCCATTTTACATCGGCATTTGTTAGCACATCAAAAAGCGGAATCACGAATAACCGAGAGAATTCAACAGTAAAAAAAAGGTAAGCTAGTAACAGTATCAATTTCAAACTCGAACTATTCATCAGGTGGCTACAAATTAACACGTGCATCAATCTAGCAATTATCTGCCTTCCGAGCTCAACTGCTTCGAACAGGTCCCCCCGCTACATCTGTTTCAGCCGGGAATGGTCTAAAGGTTTTGTCACTAATAAGAGCAGAGCGTTTAACTTTATGCTCTCCTTTCCAGATAAAATCAAAGATGATTTTGTTTGCTTCTTTCACAAATTCTTTATCCAATGATATCAAGCTCTTGCGATAGAATAAGATTAGGATAATAAAGGTTTTGACAACTTGAATTCTCCCTGAGATAGACAAATCCCTCCACCTCCAGATTCTCAACCTAAGTTGAATGGAACTGATTAATTCATTGATCTTTAAGCTTTATTTGCTCGAATGTCACAGGTAAAATTTACTCCCAAGATTTTAACAGATCGTTTAATTTTTATGTTGTTCAGAGCGGTTTCTGGTACGGTATAGGCCCGGTTACGTGGCAGCAAAAGCTCTGACTTTTCGTGGTTAACCTATAGACCAGAGCAAGTTCTTTAATGTTCTATAAGTATTACAAAGTTTGTTGAGAGGGATCATCTTTTAAAAACCCAGTCAGGTCATTTGTGAACAGACTTACTTTGATCTCTTTATTATCAAGTATAATACCACGGATGTCATTACTGTTACGTATATTTTAAAAACACAAAGCCTATTCCAGGTTCTCAGATTGTAGGGGAGACGCGAAAGTAAAAGGCTCGTGAAAAGTTGGCGGGAGGAAAAAGAAAAAGGAAAGGAGAGAGAGCCTATAATCATTTATTTTACGACCGTATCTCGCCTACTTTTGGCACATTTGAGATTATTAGATTTCGGCTGTCCAACTGTTGAAATGTCAATGAGCTGAATTTCTGAATCTCTAGCGAGATTATTTTGCGCGGTGCTAATCCCTTATGCGAGCGTGAGAAATTTGGAGTGTAAAAGGCGGGTCGGTAGGCAACACACGACTTTTATCTCGTGCCAAAATGCTGCTTGTTCCAATGAATATTTTCTTTTATGGGTAGATTATGCCCTGGAGGGGTGTACATTTTGACTGAGCAAACTGTGTGATTTTTGTCGCTTGTTTCATGGTGAGAGATCATGACACGCATTAATTTTTTGCGGTTATTGTTGATGATTTGCCCCCTGATTAGCCTGGGACCAGGTTCCGCAGTGGGGGGAAAAAGGCAAAAAACAAAACAAATAGGAAAAATATCGGCTAGCGAAGCGAGCCCAGCGGTGGTCTGGGGAGGGGGGAAAAGGCGGCGGAGCCTGTAGACATGCCTCTGATGCCGCCGTTCCATGATACCAGATTGGTACCATGCTCTGATTGGTCAAATGTCTTTGCGTTCTTTCAATGTCAAGCTTCTACTACTCGAGAAAAGATTTTTAAAGACGAATTTTGAGCAAGCAATATAAATTTCTTTGCGAGACTTTTCGCTTATCCCTCGGCTCCAAGAAGAGCAAAAAATATGCTGTGATCGGATGCAAAAAGAAAAACTAAGCATTCCAAATATTGAACTCTTCTTATACTTTCCTGTGATAAACTGCAGTCACATTTAGAAAGCAATTGACTTATAAACCGACGTTCAAAGGGCACAGAAAAATAATCACCCTCCTACAAAAGAGTGATAAAACCCAAAAATCAATGGATACATGCAAAGAGAGCATGTACTTTGCGAACAGCTACGCTTTGTGCTCCGAGAACGCGTGAATCACAACAGTACAGGAATACCCTGTCAGCAGTTGCTTCTCACTTCCATGGTTTAAGCGACGCGAACGACTTCGTAAACGCTAAAAAGGTCTAAAAATCTCTGCTTGCAGGCTAATACAAAGATAACAGCGGTAAAGGAAAATCAAGGAAAATGATTATTACTGACGTTTAAACGATATTGAGCAGACAAATTACCTTGTAAAACGGATTAAAATTAACAAGGAACATACTCAAACTGAATTGTCTGCTGTATATGGTGCTAAACTTACACAATTTTCCTCCGCGGAATATAAACTCTACCCATAGCAATATTTCCTCTGGTACATTTAATATAAGAAGCTACGTAAACGAGCATTATGACGCGAACTGAGAACTTGAGGGATCTCTCGATATCCGTGATGAAAACTTGACGTATTGACATTTCAATGACAGGTTAATTGCTGGAGGGCGGCGGGGCATCAAAGAGGGTCTCAATGGGGTGGTGGCTTTTACGGTTATCGGCTAAAAATTTCGGCTCTTTTACGGCTATCGGCTAATTTTTTTTCAGTTGCGGTTAACAAAAAAGTTAAAAATTAATTCCTTTTGTTTCAAGGAGTTAAATATTAATAAACCTGTATTTTTTCTAACTTTAAAGCAAAATAAAAGTCTTAGGATTACCTCGGGATGAAATAAGCTATTCTTTTGAAAAATCTTACAGTCAAACCAGGTCAAGCGTTCCCGTCGCTAGCAAACTAATGAATTCATTAATGGAAAAATGATTTCGTTTGTTGATTCAATAATCCATTCATAAAATGAATAATCCAACAGTCAAATTGGACCTCGATTCAATATTTAAATTTTGATTTGGTTTATGAACAAAATCTACCTGTTCTTTATTCTTGTCTGTTGAGTTCAATCGTATTTGCTTCCCTTTTCTTGCCGTTTACGATTGCGTTTTTAATTGCCTTTAATCAAAAGAACAGCTAGAATAGACAGACCGCAATGCAAGAAAACTGGCAAAGGCCGAGGATTGAAATCCACCAATCACCGCACATACATTGACCTCAGTTTGACTATGGTGTTTTCTAAGAGGTCAGGTCCGTTGCAAACAGTTTGTTTGGGTTTGAACTTCAGAACTCGCCCGCACTCGACTCGAAGAAAAAAAAAGTGTAGTTTTTCAAAAAACAGTAATCGAATCAACATTCGATTATGGAATCGAGGCTAAATATGAATATGGGATCGTTCATTTTATGAATGAATTATTGAATCAACAAACGAAATCATTTTTCTTTTAATGAATTTATTAGTTCGTTAGCGACGGGAACGCTTCACCTGGTTTGACTGTAAGATTTAATAGATCATGCTTCATACAGTATTCCACTTCTAATATTACTTTACGCATAGAACAATCAATATAAAAATAATCTTTGTGAAAAAGCAAAAGCAGACACGCGAACGCTCAACTCAAGGTTGGGGCGCGAATTCATTTATAACAGAAATGGCCGTTTTCACACCAGAAACAGATAATTCGTGTGAGACGGGTTATCCGTTTGATAATTCGCGCCAGATAGGTAATACGTCTTAATTTGAAAATGGAACTGTTTTAATTTTGAATGAACAATCTGCCTGACTTTATCCGCCAATTTTGACGGACAGGTTGAAGATGGGTTATCCGTTCTAGATAGCCTGTGTACAGCCGCCCCCTCCCTTCAGAAAAAAAAAACGGAAAAGGGGTGTCTGTGGGGGAGGAGGCGACTGGACACAGGCTAGTGTCTGACCGATGATCCATTTTCTAGCTCTAGTGTGAAAACTGCCAACAACAAAATTCCCGTGTCCAGTGTTTTTAATGATACAGAAAGGACTGTACAGAACGACTGTCTGCCGTGACTTGTCCGTATTATAGACCTCATTATTCCGCGCGGCTAATGCATTCCGGGTCACGTGGTCCGAGCGATTTTGTTTTCCTCAGGTATGCCACCGAAATGCCTTGACCGAGATTGTGTGGGAAGACGCCGTACAGGCGAGTTTGACTAAGAGTCGCGGGTCGCGGGTCGCGGGTCGCGGGTCCAATGTCGCGGTCGCGGGTCCAATGGCGCGGCAGGGGAAAATG